TTCACAGGAAGCTAGCCGACTGAAAGCTCGGTCTATCTTCTCAGACCTCGGAAGCCGAGTAAAGTCGAACCTGTTCACCGTTTGGATTGGGGAAATAGGGGGTTGTCACTTGTCCTGGTTTCCCAAGGAGATGCTTCTTCTTCCTTTGACATGTACCAGTTGCTTTTGTACCTCAGAAGTGCAGCCTCCATTAGGGCACGATTATTGGGTTGCTATGCTGAACCACGGATAACGCCTGCGAAGGCATCAGTGGCCCATTGCTTCTATCTTTGCATGAATGTCTCTGCCTTGATATCAGCCTGACACACAGTGAAGGTAAACCTAAGAGACAGGCGGAGTATTTACCACATACATATTGTATAAACTCTGTATACAGCTTGCAAGCATGTGCGGTTGCTTACATAACTGACGAGCAGTATCATTGCACAGTGCGTAACCAGTAAACATGGAATATTGTTCCAACGTTACATATGTATTGGCTAACCGGCGTGATGTTCATTATTTGAATCCGACGTACTGGCAAGGACATACTGTGTTCATGATTTTGGCAATCGCCCCGACTTCCATCTGCAAGTTACTCCGCTGCAGGTTGTGGGTGCGTGTCTGTGTGTACCAGTGTTGTTCTGCCATCTCTATACGGGGCGCCGCAATGGGTCCGATCCCAACCCTGAAACCTGGACATTTGAAGTTTGCATGGCTCTCTCCTTGTGGCCGTGTGAATTTTTCTCTGGGTCCTCCGGTTTTTCCCTCCACATTTAGAAACGTTCGTTGAGACTATTTGCCTGATATACATTTCTACATGATAAGACAATTGGTTGAGCTACCATTTGTGGTCAGGACGCTTCTAAAAAAGATCAATATAGCTCAGTGGGCCTTACCTGGTAAAATACAAATAATTTTAAGTAATAGTTACATTCACCGCTGCATCGTTGGTGTCTGGCATTCTTGTTCATCGTATGTGATAAATGGATATGTTGATTGCATTTGTGTTCATTTGCATGTTGTTCTTTGTTATGTGCACAGGCCGGCTGGGACATGTAATCGCCAAGAAAATCCCTTTGAATAAAGTAAAAAAAATAGTGAACGACGCAGTGGTGGCAGCGTGCTCTCAAGGCACGTGGCCAATCTGAGCCCAGCTTTGTTGACAACGATCCGCAGCGCTGCGTCAAAACGCACGGTACAGTAAGACTCGTCACCGTGAGTTTGACGGCGCGAAAATTAATCCGCTTTTCCGATCGGCATCCAAGACAATTATTATAGCGCGGGAAAGTAATCTTTCGTGATCATCGGAGAAAATGCGCTTTTAGTGAGATCCACACCACCACTCTATCACTCTACATTTCTTACATGGATGTCAAAGAATTTCCGTATTGGAAATGCAATCACTAATGTGGCCCATTAACAATGCCATCGAGGTTTATACCATATTCCTAGATGGGAGGTGACTGGTGCCTTGGGAAAATTATACGCACGCCAAACCAATGAGCCAACGCTGTTGGAACCCTCAGTTAGAATCCATGTGTGAGTGACCCTTAAATAAAACCAGCTTCTCAAGATGTTACATTCCCCCCCCCCGCCTACGATTGGCTGCAACTCTCTATAAGCTCAGACAAACGACGGTATGGCAGCCGAATGAGTAAAACACACCTCAGAGGATGGTGTGATTGCATGTGACAGTGAGGGAAAAACGTATTTGATCCCCTGCTGATTTTGTACGTTTGCCCACTGACAAAGAAATTATCAGTCTATAATTTTAATGGTAGGTTTATTTGAACATTGAGAGACAGAATAACAACAACAAAATCCAGAAAACGCATATCAAAAATGTTATAAGTTGATTTGCATTTTAATGAGGGAAATAAGTATTTGACCCCCTCTCAATCAGAAAGATTTCTGGCTCCCAGGTGTCTTTTATACAGGTAACGAGCTGAGATTAGGGAGTGCTCCTAATCTCAGCCTGTTACCTGTATAAAAGACACCTGTCCACAGAAGCAATCAATCAGATTCCAAACTCTCCACCATGGCCAAGACCAAAGAGCTCTCCAAGGATGTCAGGAACAAGGTTGTAAACATACACAAGGCTGGAATAGGCTACAAGACCATTACCAAGCAGCTTGGTGAGAAGGTGACAACAGTTGGTGCGATTATTCACAAATGAAAGAAACACAAAAGAACTGTCAATCTCCCTCGGCCTGGGGCTCCATGCAAGATCTCACTTCGTGGAGTTGCAATGATCATGAGAACGGTCAGGAATCAGCCCAGAACTACACGGGAGGATCTTGTAAATGATCTCAAGGCAGCTGGGACCATAGTCACCAAGAAAACAATTGGTAACACACTATGCCGTGAAGGACTGAAATCCTGCAGCGCCCACAAGGTCCCCTTGCTCAAGAAAGCATATATATGCCCGTCTGAAATTTGCCAATGAACATGTGAATGATTCAGAGGACAACTGGGTGAAAGTGTTGTGGTCAGATGAGATCAAAATGGATCTCTTTGGCATCAACTCAACTCGCCGTGTTTGGAGGAGGAGAAATGCTGCCTATGACCCCAAGAACACCATCCCCAACGTCAAACATGGAGGTGGAAACATTATGCTTTGGGGGTGTTTTTCTGCTAAGCGGACAGGACAACTTCACCGCATCAAAGGGACAATGGACGGGGCCATGTACCGTCAAACTTGCGTGATAACCTCCTTCCCTCAGCCAGGGCATTGAAAATGGGTCGTGGATGGGTATTCCAGCATGACAATGACCCAAAACACACGGCCAAGGCAACAAAGGAGTGGCTCAAGAAGAAGCACATTAAGGTCCTGAAGTGGTCTAGCCAGTCTCCAGATCTTAATCTCATAGAAAATCTGTGGAGGGAGCTGAAGGTTATAGTTGCCAAACGTCAGCCTCGAAACCTTAATGACTTGGAGAAGATCTGCAAAGAGGAGTGGGACAAAATCCCTCCTGAGATGTGTGTAAACCTGGTGGCCAACTACAAGAAACGTCTGACCTCTGTGATTACCAACAAGGATTTGCCACTAAGTACTAAGTCATGTTTTGCAGAGGGGTCAAATACTTATTTCCCTCATTAAAATGCAAATAAATTTATAACATTTTTGACATGCGTTTTTCTGGATTTTTTCACTGTTCAAATAAACCTACCATTAAAATTATAGACTGATCATTTCTTTGTCAGTGGGCAAACGTACAAAATCAGCAGGGGATCAAATACTTTTTTCCCTCACTGTATGTGGGCCAATGAGGGTTGTTTGACCATATTTCACCACGCTAGTCAGTGCGAATTCGTCGAGTTAAAAGCCCACGTCCGATTCAAATGTCACTTGCCACTGATGGCAGCCATGGCTGGGGATCGCACTGAGGTCACCAGGTTCATAGTGCAGTCCGTTAACTACCACCACAATTTACGTGGAACCATATTTTATCGGCATGAAATAATTGACCCCGCATCCTCTCTGCCAATCGATTGTCATCATTCAGGGTCACGAGATCCATTCAAGAAGTCGTTTATTCTTCGTCTCATTTTCGCCTTCTCATTCGCATTATCTCCCGTTGGTTTTGTCTCTGCTTTGCAGTTTTGTTTGCCTGGGAACCGATGTTTTTGTTGATCAAACCCCACTCAAGAGCTTCTTAGCTCACAGGGTACTTCGAAATAAACTGGACTGGATTCACTGAACTGAATTTGCCCAACATTAACATCCGCACATCGTTTGCCTACATCACAAATAATCGATCCTGCCACGCTTGACCGATGCGCAGGACTCGATAAGAGTTAATGAATCGATGCATCTTTGCGTGCCCCGCCCCCCCCGCCCCCCCCGCTCGTACGTGCGTGTCATTACTTGGCGGCGACTAGGAACAGATACAAAATTAGCACATTAATTAAACATAGTCACAAGTTGTATTTATACCGTCGCTGGGCGGAAATGATGGGGACTCAACGAGAAGCACTGCACCCTGGGGAATGAATGCATTATCCGCAGTGAACCCCCCCACCGAATATCCAACTTCGCCTGAAAAGACAATTTGAGCTTCTCCCGCTCTCTCTCTCTGCCCCCCTCTGTAAACCTCACCTGTAACTGACTGCTAAAAATTCTGTAGAACATCAGTTGGCCAAAACGTCAAGATATTCCTGGATGTATATATATACACACATGTGACAATGTTTAGTTAATATATATACATGTATATATACACATATACACATGCATATATACATATATACATGCATATATACACATGTATATATACAGTGTGTATATACAGTATGTATATACAGTGTATATATACATGTGTATGTATATGTATACACATGTATATATGTATATATACATGTATATATACATGTATATTTACACATGTATATATGTGTATATACATGTATATATGTGTATATATATACATGTATATACACATGTATATATACATATATACATGTATATATACACATATATACATGTATGTATATACATGTATATATACATATATACATGTGTAAATATATATACATACATGTATATATATTTACACATGTATATATATACAAGGATGCTGCCGCGGTGCAGTGGTTTGAGCACTGGACTTGCAATTCAGAGGTTGCCACAATTTGACCTCCCAGTGCAGGAGTTAAATAAATGAGCACATCTATGAAATCCCTCCCGCCTCTGTCCACCCAGAAGTGTAAATGGCTACAACCACAGTGAGTTGTATGTGTGTTGAACTTATTTTGGCAAAATATTGAAGATAGTTGATCAGCAGGTCAGCTGCATGTGGTGGACTAAAGTGTCCAGTGTTGAAGAGCCGTCCAAATACCCTCTCAAGGGATTTCTCCGGAGCTGTTCTGCTAAAAGTGACATGAGCAAGTATGCGTGTATGTACGCATGCATGTACATATGTATGTATGTTGAGAGTAATCGCAGGGTTGCACCTGTAGCAACGTTTTCTATCCGTGCTTGCAGTACGTTTTGTGTCTGTGTCTCGGTTTGTGCGTACCTGTGCAGGTGTATCCGTCGGGACTTGGCTGGTAGCCGGCCGAACAGTGGCATCTGTACGACCCCGGTAGATTTTCACATTGGCCGTACGGACCGCAACGGCTCACCTGGCATTCGTCGGTATCTGTGCGGTAAAGAAGAAGGGCGAGGGGTTGTAGGCATGAAACGGCGTGACCGTTTTGCATTTAAAAAAAAAACAACACATCGATGCCATGTGATCATCGTTCATCTTAAATATCCATAATATAGGTTTTTTTTTGTTGGGTTAGATCGTGTAAATATAAATGTGTCGATAAACCCGCCACCACCCGACACAGCCGATTAGTAACCCAAGCATGTCAATTTGTTACTAGTACAGCACGCCGGTGTGTTGGAGAGAACATCCACAACATTTACAATCTGAGTAGAATGTGTCACTTGTAATCACAACTAGCATCATCAGACGGACAGCCAGATTTGTGGAGACAAACTCCTGGTTCGTTCCTTAATTAGAGTGACAACAAACTTACTAGTCAAAAGTTATCAAGTAATATCTATTTCATACAAATATAGTAACATATTTTTCACAGTAATTGACAATATAGCAATTTATGTGATATAACAATGTTCACAATAAATTTAATCGTTGAACTATCCACAGTGTAGCTGACAGCATGTGCGTTTAAATAGTTACAGATTGAGCCCAGACCTCACAATTCGCTTGTCTGTGCCACCCGAGGTGGCTTAACTTTAGTGGTTCTGAAAACGTGTTTACGTGGTGAACAAGTTTATTTGATTTTTGCTACACGGATGGTCCCATAAGCCAGTTGCCCTGCTATTTTATGGGGGGGGGATCTGTGGTGCGTGAGCGCAGCAACAATAAGAAACAAAAGACAAAAACACCAACATCGCAGGGAGCGAGTACAGGCCCCTTCGGGAATATGGCACGACTAACAAGCGAGGTGCTTGACGGTCACAAGAGAAACGCATGCGAATAAAAAAATTAACAGTGCAAATATAGTAGGAGAGTAAGAGGCACCAGAAAAAAGTGACGTACGGCTGGTGCAAGTAAGTCTAATTGTCACATCGCCACACGCAAGTCGAAAAAGACAATGCAAACATGAGGGAGCAAGGGGGTGTCAGAAAGAAGTTACGCACATGTTCCACTAAGCCCTATGTTTTGGTTTTAATAAGGAGATAAAGAGTGGGAGTTAATGGAAGGAACGGAGCTGCGAGGGTATTCCAGAAACGTCGTGCAGCAACGTGAGAAGACTTTGCCGTACAAAAACCGGAGGAAGGGCCTTTGCTATTGATGCCCCCAGGGTCTGGAATGCTATTGCCAATAAACTGCAACTTGAATCACTACCTATGAGATCTTCACTCAAAACTGCTCTAGAGGAGTTGTACACCCATAGCTGCCACTGCTATTCAGTGGCCTAAAATAAAATAAAATGTTTTGCGCCGGATGACTGCTGCAAAGTATTAACTGTATTTTGATTTAGTGTGCTGATCTTAAAGGTGCATTGAAAAATGTGATACTCCGACTGATGCTCCTGTTGTTGTGGAGTGACTCATGCAGCCAGCTATGGCTCTAGGGTTTGGTGTTACATGTTATTTATGTAGTTTATTGTTAAAAATTCGGTCACAGTCCCTGTGATCACTGTTACATTGCATTTATGGCTTTATTTTGGTGATTTCGAAAACGTTTTTTTTGGCCATGTTTTTGTTTATTGTAGTACGGAGTTAGACTGATGGCCTTAATCTTAGTTGTCTTGTGGTTGTTGTTGTGGTTGTTTGACTTGCATCCCACTGGTATTTTTGCACACAGCATTGGTGTACGGTGCTATTTCAGGAATATTTTGATGTTTTTCTCCTGGATTTTCTGTTTGCACAGTCACATAGTCACTTTATGATGTTTTCTTGTTCATGTTTTTGTTTTTTGTTTGTTGAGGTTGCACCCGATTCAAGAGCCGAATGGCTCACAGGGCTATACCTAATAAATGGAACTATGAACTTGTTACCACGCAAAGAGTGAATGATTTGATAACCATTTAAAACGAGATAATTATTTCTAATTATCAAATAAGCCAGTACGAATAAAGCCAGTGCGACTACAGTTTGGCTACGTTGGACTAATTGTAACAATTTGTAGACCTGTGGTAGGCTAAGTTGAGTTAACCGCAGTCAGAGAAATAAAACAATAAATAAATGAAATTTGCAGTCATTTTTTTGAAAGACATTTCTTTTTCTTCCAATCGTACTTACAGTACAGCAAAGCGCAACGACCGATGCAAGTGACAATGTCCAAATGGTCGGAACGTTTACGGGGGGAAAAACGGACATCGGGCCGATCGTCGCGCCGAGAAATGTAACGTCGTATCGCGTGAGAAATGATACGGCGGCAAGCCCTCTTGAGCGAGCGCGAGCGATGGCCCACGACGGTAAATGCCAAAGTCTCCCCCATTCCCCCGCCTCTGCAGCCCGAGCCCGGTTTTTGTCTTGTCTCAGAGCAGGCAGCTCCCGCGAGCGCGGCGGTGACGGGAGCAGCGATTAAACTTCCTCTCCCTCTGGCTGGTGCTACCGCTGCTCCCTTGCAGTGCGTGCGCTTGTACCCAAGGCTTGGCCTCCCACAGTGCTATTTTGAACAAGTGGCAAATCAATTATTTATGTGCAGCACACGGCAAAGGGACGCGCAATTCGACTCAACTCGCAGAACTTGACTAAGCGGCGTGTCGCTCTTTGTACACACGCGCGCAAAGTGTATTTATCTATCATCACGAATATTTATTTGACATACGTAATTTTTTCTCGTGATTACACAGCGGAGATCAGAATCGGAATCTTAATTTATACTGGAGGAATCCGAGGAGCTATGAAGCTCTTCTTCACAGATGTCCAGTTAGGGGCGGGTCAGAAAGTTAAAACAACAAACAATACAACACACACGATGGGAGTGCAAAGAATAGGAGAGGTAAGCCAATCACACATTTTTTTTATTTTACCAGGTAAAGTCCACTGAGCTATGTAGCTCTTTTTTTAGAAGCGACCTGGCCACAAATGGCAGCTCAATGAAGTGGCTTATCACGTGGAAATTGATAGCAGCCAAATCATCTAAATAATCTAAACGCATGGGGATTAATTGACTATACTTCACCACCACTGATCAATGTGGGTTGGTAAAAGGGAGTCGAGAAAGGCCAGTTATCGAACTGAGGTATTCAGGTTGATAGTTCAGTGCACGAACGACAGTGCCACCCTTCCCTTTAAGTGCCCAGACATTTTTACATGAATGCAGACAGAGACTGCAATAATGCTGGCTGTAACACTGAATATTAAATCACGTGGATGTTTATAAATAGACATAAAATTACAGTCGTCTTCTTTTTTGGATGGCGGTGAGTTGATCATCAATCTTTCTATGTTCATGTCTACGCGTGAGACGGTGAACGGCTTCCCGTGAACATCTGGCATGGTGCCGGCGAATGATCGTCAGGATGGACATCTGTGAAAAAGAGCTTCATAGCTCATCGAATTCCTCCAGTCTACATCAAGATTCTGATTCGGATCGAAGCCAGCAGTGTTTTTACTCTGTGTTCAATGGCTTGAGATACAGACCAACACGGAGGCTAGCAGACGCACATGAACACCGATAGGCTTACAACGATGACGAGAGACTCCTGATGAATAACCGAAAATCTCCCGGCGAACGACTGAGCCCAATAACGGTTTCACAGTGCCCTCCACGGAAAGTGCAACGCCGTGAAATCTCGCGGCACGGTCGGCAACGTGAATTCGGCGGCGACGATTACAGGCGAAGCCAAAGAACGCGTTCCTCACCCACCGCCGCCGCCGCCGTATCACCGGCCTCTTCCGCGCAAATAGAAATCCAAACGCGGCAGGCTGGCGTCGTGAATAACGATGCCCGATTCACGCGGGAGAGCACTAGGTAACAGCGGTTTGCGTATCACATTCGTCAGTAGCCACACTTGATCCCCTCTTACACTTTAAAACTCACACGCGTCCACCCACGCTCACAAGTGACTGACTGTGCGCGCCGTCAAGAGCCGAAGCAGCCATCGTTTTTACATTTCACCCTGCGAACACTGTTTGGCTTGAAAGTTTAATAATTTCAGTTTCAGCAATTATTGTATTGGCTGTGTCGCCGGAGACCAAGTCGCAATGATGGGTAACACAGAATCAATGACGAGTCATTCATCAAGGTTGACAATTTAGCCGAGCCCACAGCGCCAAGATGCATGAATAAGGACCTCATTGTGCTGATAGAGAACCACATTCGCAATCAATCAGCCCTTAATTGTAATAATTACTGGCACAGATGCTTCCTCAATTATTCATGACCAGGTAAGTAGAAGCTCAATGGGACAAAAATGTATCTTCGAAAGTGACATGGGATAAATTTAGAGCATTAGGCTTTGCAACGATGCAGAGATTTATCAATTAAAATCAATTTGTATCTTACACATACAGTATATATATGGATCCAGCTGTGCATGTGTAAGAATAGTTTATTGAAGATGTATGTAAAGGCTATGCAAGATGATAGGCAAATGTTGCATCGAGGGTAAAGGGGGGAAGGGTGGGGGTGAACAAAACGGTACAAATGAGACCATGAATACGACACAAAAAAGTGCATCGATTATCTAAATGGAACCCGCGACCCCCAAAGTGAGACAAATTAATCGAATCCGCAGGTGGTGGGTCGTGAATTATTACAAAAGCCAGCACGATAAAAAGCATGCGCGTGGAAGCAACATCTGTAAAATAAATTTAAAATCAAAGGCGGAACGCCGCCCCTGCGCTAGCTATTCAATTACCGGTAGCGCGGGCTTCACGCGGCGGAGAGGGGCGATCGCGTGCCGCGGAGGGCAATAAGGACAGCTGGGCTCACCTGCGCAACTGTGCCCCTCGGGAGTCGGCTGGTAGCCATGGGGACACTCGGGAGGCCCGCACCGGTAGGAGCCGGCGAAGTTCTCGCAGCGGCTCGACGTCCCGCACGGGTTCGCCCGGCACTCGTCCACATCTGGGAGAGGCGCCGCACAGATCGACCGTTCAAACGCCATTTAGCGGTCGCATTCGTCAAGTTTGCTTGACCCGACCCCAGCCCCACCACCGCATCGCCCGTCGCTGACGAGCCACGGCTTTTGGTTTCCCCTGCAGGGTAAGAAAGATAAATGTGGAACCCATGCTACGAGTTGCTGTGGAGCCCGTCAATCGGGGGTCCATCCAAGGCGGCCAGACGTCTTGGAAGATGTGGGAGTATCCCACATCTTCTAAGCCGGCCAGACGTCTTGGAAGATGTGGGAGTATCCCACATCTTCCAAGGCGGCCAGACGTCTTGGAAGACGTGGGAGTATCCCACATCTGCCAAGGCGGCCAGACGTCTTGGAAGATGTGGGAGTATCCCACATCTGCCAAGGTGGTCAGACGTCTTGGAAGATGTGGGAGTATCCCACATCTGCCAAGGCGGTCAGACGTCTTGGAAGATGTGGGAGTATCCCACGCTTTCCCCACCGTGCACGAGCTGTCAACAGACTCGCTGTGGTTGTCCTCGTGTGTACTACTAAGGCGGGGGGGGGGGGGCGCTTAACTATTCAGTAGGCACAAGATAAAGACAAACATCATCTCTCGTACAGCCTTAGCACACGACACCAGGTACAGTACTCATTTGAGGTTGAGTCGACCTAGGGGAGGCTCGAGGACCGGTTCAGATAATCGTCAATGGTGTTGGAATTGAGCGGGAATCGAACTCGGGTCACCGGGTTCGTAGCGCAGCACGCTAAGTGCTACCGCTCCCCATACATATTCAGTTGCATCGTATGTACACACACACACAGACACACATCTTCTTAAGTGCAACTCACTAAGATGTAGTCTGCGTGGGTCATTTTCACAAGAACACTTTAACAGGAGCCAGTGTACCTAAGTAGGTTTGAGTCTGCATGGCACATAGGGGTGTGGCCATCAAGGAAAAGGCATATGATTGCCGGAGAGTGCCAATAGTGAAGTAAAAACACTCTTATCCTCTGATCTATAGACCGGGCTTTACGAGATCCCCGAGCCCTTTGTGGCAATATTCATCAAACAGCTTGTACCCATCGTGTCTAGCGGTCATGGCATATGGACCCGGCGACCGGAGTTTTATTCCTGGCCATGGCTACCATCAGTGCCTTGAAAACATCTGCACCGGTCCAGGGCACGGCCCCCTTTCACTTCACCACGCTGACCAGCGTGGTGAAGTATGGTAAAAACAAACCCCAAGACACAGCATGAGGAGGGCCTTCGTGCAGCAGTGGCTTTCCATACGGCTGTAAACGACGATTTTTGTTCAGTGCTGATGTGTGCGAGTCACACGTATGTGGTCGTTTATGATCGACTTCAAAAGCATTGCTAATACACGGACTATTGGGACGAAGATTATAGTTTTAATTAAAACTCGCACTTCTCTGGACCAGATTGAATGTGATAACATCGTAATAATAATTAGATAGCACGTGAGAGCTGAACTTCAAAAGACAATCCATTTGTGATCCCACCTCAGTGTTCTAGCAACCGGATTTAATTAACGCTTTTCATTTGGTGCCATTTGACCATTAGTCATGGGTGGAGGCGGCCGCCGTGTTTAGCGAAGGGTATCCTGAGACCGTTGTCTCTTAGGTGGAGAAGAAGCATGTTGAACCAGACGGGGATAAGCACCAAAGCCTGAGTCATATGCCACAACCGAGCCGGGCAAGACATCTCGTGTGATTACAAACATCTCGTGCCAAGCAGACCTGCAGACCTCCCTAATCGCAAGCAGTCACTTTACTGCAAAACGGCCACAATTTACATATACAGTTTTTTTTTTTATTATCAAATGCCTGCTGAAGGCTGATTGATGGACGGGCAGGCAAATAGGCAGGCGAATGGACGATTGATGGACAAGGAGAACAGATGGATTGGTGTACAGGCAGAGAGATGAGTGGGCGCGCGAGTTCGAGGGAGAGGGGGAAACAAGGCACGGACTGGTTAGAGTGGTTCCTTTGCTTTGCTGAGAAGCCGTACTGACAGCAGAGTGTGCAAGGGGATGGTCACACCCCCATCACGGCGGTGATTAAAATCTGAAAAAGAAAAAAAAAATCGGGATTTTCGATGATACCAATTTTACGCTTGGACTCCGCCGAAAACAGAGCGCCGTGAATCAAATCGCCACGCGATCGTCTACGCACGTCGCTAAATGCGTTTTTTTTTGTTTGCACCTTTCTCTCATCGTACCGCTTTCTCTTCTTGTTGCCGTTGCCTTTCCCAAAACACCGACCGCATCCCGAGAACTGCGAAGCGTCGAATGTATTTTTAGATTCATGTTCTCGCTTTAAATGTCACTGAGGAGGACTCGTTGCACTTGAACTATTGACTCGCACTTGGCGCATCGCGAATCTGTACGACCGTTGCCTTCGCTCGCCCGGGATCCATCCATTCACGTTGCCTGTGGTTCGCCGTTGAAATGCCGCCTCCTAGTTTAACCGCTTTGGCCTTGGGAGGAGGCAACGGGTTAATGGCTTAGCTGTGCACGCCGGTCGTAAATTACGGCAAAAAGAAATTGTCGAGTGGCAAAGGTTAAAAGGTAAAGGTGCAGCACTTGCAATTTACTACTCACGCCACTGCTGGTGGCAGGGCCTCCTACACAGAGGCAGTTCTCGAGAAGTTGTTTGGCCTGCTCTTCGATGCTGGCCAGAGGGCTTGGAAGCGATGGGAGTAACCCACACTTTACCCCACCATAACCGACCTGCCTACCCATCGACTATGAGTGTCCCCATTTATACTGCGGGGTGGAGAGAGGTGGGGGGGGGGGGGAGGGGGTCGGTGGGGGGTTGGAGGGGATCGTGCCTGGAGAACGAAGTGGCGATCCCAGGATCGCTAACTCCACGGCAACATCCGTTAACAAAAAATAAAAGAAAAATCAATTCCGCAGACAAAATAAAATAGGAACAAAAAAGTGAAGCGAGCGAGCGAGCGAGATGGGAGCAGGCCGCTCACCGTAACAGTACCGGCCGTCGCCGTCGAAGCCTGGCAGGCACTCGCATCGGTACTCGGCGGGGCCGGCGCCGGGGAGGCAGCGAGCGTTCTCACCGCAGCCGTGCGTCCGCTCCGCGCAGGGGTCCCTCGGCGGGGCAGGGGGCCGCTCTGCCAGGTCACGTGACAATGATAAGGGTTCGCATTGACGGGTCACTTGAATTGCTTCAGCAACTCAGCAGGTGCTTGTGGTTTCATAGACCTGCGGTATTAACAGGGCAGCCGCTGGGCTCCGAACCACAAACCTCTGCAACGAGCGGCAAATGCGCGATAAGCTCGGCCGTGTCACCACACCACGTGATTGTATTCACAACAATAATAACCACAGCAGTCACAAAGCTGAGGCTCTGATTACCTTGGAAAACTTCGCTGAGGCGCAGGACCTGTTTACCAACAGAGTCAGCTTGGTCGATTTACTCAATGCATTTTTGTTATTTTTGTCATGAAGCTGTTATTGATTTATTGAAAAAAATGCATTCCAGTTGTAACTCGAAAATCGAAACTAGTGCAGGTATGGGCAATGCGCCACAACATCTGAATTAAAAAAAAAAATCACTTTTCAACTGCAAGTTTTTTGTTGTTTTATTTTTTATCTTCAGAAGACGTGACCTGATCTATAGAGCGAGCAGAAACATTTAAGAAAGAAAATTAACAGCTTGGCAAAAACACCCCCCTCACTGCATTCTACAAGCTGCAAAGCGGTTTCTGTTGATCAAATGTCAGAGAGTGCAAAACGGGGCATGTTTTCTTTTGTCAAGGCAAAGAGAGAAAGAGTGGAGATTGCAATCCATTCATCGCCCTTACACAGCGACAAATCGGACGGCAACTGCGAACACGGCCATGTCGTAGCGAGAGAAGACGGTGCCAAAGGTGCCACCAGAACAAAGGTGAGTTAATTTCCGCATGGGGAAGAAACTACGATGCCACAAAAATAACAAAGCGTACAGAGAGGCAATAACATTCACAGAGGTCAACGGCGTTAGGTCAACAGCCCGCTTTGCTGTACGTACGCACGTTGAACTTCTTTCGCACCGTACGGGGCCAACGGTGCTAATCGTCAGGCTGCCGCGCTCACCGTAACAGTACCGGCCGTCGCCGTCGAAGCCTGGCAGGCACTCGCATCGGTACTCGGCGGGGCCGGCGCCGGGGAGGCAGCGAGCGTTCTCACCGCAGCCGTGCGTCCGCTCCGCGCAGGGGTCCCTCGGCGGGGCGGGGGGCCGCTCTGTCAATAACAACAACAAGAACAGTTGTAGCAATTTCGCTTATAGAAGATGCGATGGAACCTCTCGAAACCAGACTAATGCAGGGAAGCTATGCACTTTTAAATCGAGATTGAAAAACTCATTTCTTTGGGACGGCTTTTTGTGTTTACATTGTTGTTCTTCCCCCCGCACACCTCCGTTGGCTACGTACTGTGCAAAAGAAGTTCAGCAGACATTCATACATGCGAATGACCAAGGCCTCCTTCCAAAGTCACGGGTTCACCGGATTCTACACAACAGATACATATACAGAATTCTAGATTTGAAGCTTTCGTGACTGCAAGGATCCATACTCTTTGGTTCTATTCGGTAAAGTCACGTAGGTAAAAAATAAAATAAAACAATACAAATAAAAATCACGACGTTTCGGCCACAACACAAGTGGCCTTCATCAGGTAAAGGGACCGGACTGTCCAGAGGACAGCATTGGAGTGAAGACAGCCAAGCCCAGGTCGCGTCCTTTAAGCTAATCGAACCAACTAAACGTCCCTCCCTAAAACCTTCTGCTGCAAGACCCCCTAGATTCTATGGTCTTCCCAAGATTCATAAAGAAGGCACCCCACTACGACCCATCGTATCCACGATCAACTCCCCCACCTACAGGCTAGCCCGTTTTCTGTCAGATACTTTGCTCCCTTTCACTGGCAAGACCACCTCGGCAGTACTTAACTCAGCCCAATTGGTCTCTATGGTCAAAGACGTTGTACTGTCCCCTGACGATATCCTTGTCAGCTTCGATGTGGTCTCTCTGTTCACCAAGGTCCCAGTACCTGATACCATTGAAATAATTGAAAATTTGGTCCAACATGGACTAGACCCCGATACACCTGCACTGGTTAGGCACTGCCTCACCAATACCTACTTTACTTGGAATGGCACCTTCTACAAACAAAATGAGGGTACCCCAATGGGTTCCCCCTTGTCACCAGTGATAGCCAATGTTTACATGGAGAAATTTGAATCAGACGCCATCCAGACTTCCACCCTCAGACCTTCCCTGTGGAAGAGATATGTAGACGACACTTTCGTCATTTGGCCACATGGCCTCCCAGCTTTGAACCTTTTCCTAGACCACATCAATTCTAGACACCCCGCCATCAAATTCACCATGGAAGTGGAGAAAGATGGCAAGCTGCCATTCTTGGATGTTCTGTTTGAGAGGAGACCTGATGGCTCATTGGGACATTGTCTACAGGAAACCCACCCACACAGATTCCTACTTGTAACCTGATTCGCACCACCACCCGACCCAAAAGAATTATCTCATCAAAACGTTATACCACAGGGCTCATTGCATTTCGGACCAACACCACCTGACCAGTGAATTAAAACATGTACATCTGGCCCTCAAGAGGAACGGATACTCTGACCGTACCATCCGCCAAGCTGTTTCTCCCTCCATACAGAAACAACCACTTGACACTCCGATCAAAACCATCACACTACCATATATAACAGGCGTTACTAAAAAGATCTCCAAAATTCTAAACAAACACAAGGTCCTGGTCCGGTTCAATACAGTACACAAAATCCGTGACCTGATCCCATCCGTGAAGGATGTCATTCCTGACTTACAGTACCCCGGGGTTTACAAATTGAGCTGCACCTGTGGTGATTGCTATATCGGGGAGACGAAACGACATGTCTCTGACCGAATTCGCGAGCACAAATCAGATTTGAAACACGGCAGAACAAATTATTCTGCCGTAGCTGATCACTGTTACAACGCTGTGGGTGATCACGATATAGTTTTCTCCGATACCAAGGTTCTCTGCAAACCCACGGGTTTTTATCAGAGATTTGTCCATGAGGCAATTCAGATTTACAAACACAGACACAATTTCAACCGAGAGGATGGTTTCAAATTAAGCAATCATTGGAAAGATGTTCTAAATCAAAGCAAACATTAAACTAATTTTTAATGGTACAGTATATTTTTCAAGTAGTGATATCTCAAACTTTCACAGCTGCTTATTTCCCTTGACACCAACATTATGTAAACTCCCCTCCCCCCGCGTCTGGTCCATCATGGTCCATCATGTACCTCCTATGTACATCATGCTCATTTTTATGCTAATTCCTTTGTCAAGGCGCCTTTGTTTCCTCCCACACAGCTTAAAGGTCGCGACCTGGGCTTGGCTGTTTTCACTCCAACGCTGTCCTCTGGACAGTCCGGTCCCTTCACCTGATGAAGGCCACTTGTGTTGTGGCCGAAACGTCGTGATTTTTATTTTTATTGTTTTATTTTATTTTTTTACCTACGTGACTTTACCGAATAGAACCAAAGAGTACATATACAGAACTTTGAAATTGTTGTGCACGAACCCCGTGTCAGTTGCGTGTATTAAGCGGCGGTCTGGATTTGCGTCTTGCACTTCCCAGTGTTGTTAAGCGCGTTCGGGAAATCGCACGTGAGTGTAATGCTCAAACGACCGGAAAAAAAGTTGGGCTAATGACCCACCTGCTGCACTGCCCTCAAGTATGCCAATAATCTCTGCTTGATCCGCCGACCCAGCCTCGAATGTTCTGCTCCACCAGCTTGTGGTGGGGTAGAATATTGCCTTTGGGCGGAAATGCCCAAAGGCAATCGGAATTGAAATTCATTAACATTCTCGTCCTCGTAATGTTTGTGTTTTTGACATCTTCTCGGCTATTAATTATAAAGTGCATCGTAGACACTTGGATCCACACCAACTCCAAAATAGCTGATGGAGGGCTCGTGAGGGAAAGCACGAGTAATGTCTACATGAGATAATATTGTGCAATTGCAAAAGAAAAATCCCGAGCTGCGTCGCATGAATTCATTTGCTAAGTTATATGAGTCAACCTTTGTTTAAAATGAAAATGTGTTAAAAGTATTTCAGTTTTTTTTAATTGCTCGTTTTCTCCCAAATCTTGTGAAGCTTTGGTTACTTTTCTTGCTGCACCACTGAAACATTTTTACATGGATTATGAAAGAACAATGTGAACGCTTTTACTGCAATAAGCGTTTTCACAATCCCAACGGTAGTAATAATAAACAGCCCTTCCTAATCAAATGCTGGATGAAAGCCTCACCGTAGCAGGTCCGTCTTGGGGAGGTTATTTGACCATATTTCATCACGATGGTCAAGGTGGGTTTGTGCAGGGGGAAAGCCCAGGTTGCTTCAGATAGCACTCGACTCTAACATTAGCCATGGCTGGGAAATGAACTCGTGTTGTCAGCTTCCTCGCACAGCGCATCAGCTGCTGTGCCACAGCTCCACGTGATCTCTTGGACCCTTCAAATTAACTTACAAATACCCGTAAAACACTTCCCGCCACAATAGGGGGGGGGGGGGGCTGTATCCGTTCCCTTATTAGGAAAATGTGTTTATGTTGAAATTAGCCTCATGGGAATTATGGTATGAAAGCTTGAACGGGTCTGTCCAGTGTCTCAATGAGTTATATAAATTCCACGGAGAGAGAGAGTGACTTCAGTGCACATCACCGACCCACAGCGCTGCCTCTTTGCTGCTCAACGGACTCTTTTATTTTTTCAGTATATTGCCTTTTTGACTCCATTACTCTGAGAACTGCATCAACCCAACCCTGTAATAAGTACAGATAAACAGTCAAATGTGGCATTTTTAAATCCCACGAGTATGCTGGCACTATCGATGGGTGCATTATGTTGCAAGGAGGAGGGCCTGAATTCAAAATCCCACTCTCAGCTTTCATTTAAAAAAAAGAATGTTAAGACCATTTCACTTGCAGGCACGACTGGTGATATGCCCATCATAATTATGCTACATAGCATACAAAAAGACCCATGCTGGCTTCTGAAAAGCGCCACGCGGTAACCTTTAACGGAGGGCTAATTGTCTGGCCAGATATTCACGAGCGCAAATAATGGCACCCAGTTAGTGAACTTTGAGGCACGCTGTCCAGCAGACGTCACGCAAAGGTCGTTTAAACCAACTGATATATTCCACTTTTATGATTTAGACTACTGTTGTCCTCACCGATGAGTCTATTTTAGCAGAGGCATAGAGAAAATAACGCACTACAGGTACAGTTGGGCTCTTATTGAGCAAGCAATGGCTCACTTTAAGATCATCACGCCTTGAATAAGCACTGTGAGAGGCCTTTAAGTCTTTGACTGTTCCCTGCCACCTGAGCCACAGCTCCCCCCATTGCCAACATAAAACGACCGAACGTCTGCAGCGGGGACGTCTTGCGTGTGCTTCCGGCTCGCGTGCCCTGTGAGTGGCGGGAGAGCGAGCCGAGGGAATTGAATTGTGGGCACGTGGGGGTGGGGTACGTAACCTCACTCGAGGGCCACCTTTAAGAACGCTTCATGGGGGGGGGGCTAGGCAATCGGTGCCACAGCGTAGTCCAAACAAACCCAGAGATGGGTGTTCCCCATGGCGTGGCTCAGAGATCTGAGCACAGAGGACGCTTGCAAAGTTACAAAGCTGCTGACGCCCTCCTAACAGCCAGCCGTCGCCTCCGTTGTAAAGCCGCAAAGTTAGCCCGCACAAACAAACCGCTTCCTGTTCTGGGGAGAAACTTGGGAGGAGTCCTCCCAAAAATGCATCTGTTGACTGTTTACTCATCAGCTGAGAAGCATAAATCTTAATTGAGGTGCAGTCTCCAAGATTAAAGCCACTTTTGTGGCGTGCGTGCTTGCCAGCTAGCGTGTAGTCAGCCGCTCACTTAATTGCGCTTTGTCGAATAATACACGCCGGTCGCCCGATGTTTGCAAAAACAAAATCAAAGAAGAGAAACCAAGCACATGCTGAACGTGTATACACCCAAAACCAGCTTGGTCTGAAGTGTGAGCGAATGGGGTTTTATTTAAGTGGAAAAAATAAATGACACTGAGCCAAACAAAACCCTGGCTAATGTGGACGCAGCTTCCAAAACTGTAGAATTAAAAAAAAATAAACTTAATGCTCTATTTATGAAGTGGTTTAATGAACACGCTTTAACTGAACGCCCTTCTGCCTTTTTCATTCATCACAGACTCGCTGATAAATTACGTGTGTACGCGACGAGCATTTGTTCTTGAACAGCATTATTTTTTTTGCTACGCTGCCTTGAATAAAAAAAAATTCAAGCATGTGCTTTCATGCCTTCGCGTGTTCAACTCGTGCCCATCCAGCGGTGGGCACGGTTCCCGCTGTGACGGTGAATCAACTAAAAAAAACCGGGCTCGCACTGGTCTATCCCTGGGAGGCGGAGGGGTCATCACAAGGTCGGTGCTAACCGCGTATTTTTACGAGCGCTCGGCCACGTGCAGACGGGCGGGTAGGTTGTTGCCAGATTCGTGCTAATGCAAACATCAGAGAGCGGGCGATCGCAGCACAACCACGTTCAACCACGTGGCCAGCTGGGACCGCTGAGCGCAGCATCAAAGCGGTCATCCTTGTAATTATTATTATTATTATTTTTGCATTACAGCCGCAAAATGTCTGAAATAATGGCCGTGCAATTTCGCATGGTCAATTAATTTCTTTCGCTGCCGCTGCCTGGGTTGTGCAGAGTTGTCGCAGTCACGAGCGGCTTCCTTGCGGTGGGAGCGGAAGCAATGGGACATAAAAATAGGACACGTATAATAAAGATGAGGTTATTAAGCAGTAGATGTCTACTTATAATTTTCTACATCATTCACGACAGATGAATAGGGAATATAATGATGATGAGGATGATAAAAAATATATACTACAAACAGTAGCACTTAATGGTCATATCAATTTATCCTCATAGATGAAAATGTTCGTTTAATCTCCATTTAAATGTATAGTTTTGTTTTCCATAGATTCATACTGTCCAGTTTCCCACTGTATGGGGTTTCCGTATAAATTAAATATTGTTCATGCACGGTAAGAATGAATGAGGTTGTACTATTCTACATAACACACGTTAACATTTTAATAAGATATTATTATTTATAAACTGCCGCTTGCTTTAAGCGGCTCCAAAATATACTGCCTCTAAGACCTCACATGAATAATATTTTGTGCCTCAGATATATGTTCCAGTAAAATACAAATTATTATTAAATCCAAGGTAATCAGCGGCTTTGAAGAGTTACATGACAAAAATATAATTATCTGATAAATAGACTAGAAAGAGGAATAGGTAGGTTGGAAATCATCAGTCGACGTACACACAGCAAGTACATCATTGGTCCGTGATAATTTGATTTTCATTGTGGTTCGGCATGCCGGGAAAACGAGTCCATTGTACCATTAATTGCAGAGACTTGAAAAGTCGCCAATTTTTACATAATTGCAATTTCTCAAACGTAAACCCCTATCATTGCCCTATCGTCGGCGCGGTTATACGCAGGAGCACAGAACCACAGCGATAACAAAAAAAGGCCTCCTTTGAAGGAGGAAAAAAAGGCAGATAAATTAGCGAGGTTGCACTATGGCCAATGAAAAATGTTGACCGTGAAGCGCTTTTGGCAGTTATTTTTCTTATGCAATTGATTTGATTCACCACAGAAGTACGTTATGCTAATGAGCACATATATACAGTATATACAAAAAAATACAAAGATCCCCCCGTATAGCCTTAACAAAAGTGTTGGGCCAAGTGCTGTTAGCAAGCACCTATGAACCCCAGCACCGCACACGAGTGGGTGGGTGGCCAGCACCACTCCCAGCCGCCTTTGTCTCCCAGGTGGCGATGTTTACACACCGTACCAGGTACTCATTTGAGGCTCAGTCGACCTAGGGAAGGCCCAAGAGCGGTCCAAATAATCGTCACTGGGTGTTGACCGTGAGTGGGAATCGAACTTGGGTCGCCGGGTTCGTAGCGCAGCACGCCAACCGCGACACGACCGCTCCCCCTATATACATATAGATGTACGTACTTACGCGCATAATTCTCCTAACCAGTGGTGGTGCTGGCCTATTGGGGAGCCGTGAGAATGCATTATTTTCGGAGGCCTCCTCCCCCTTTCGATTTATAAACTCCCAGTGACAACAGAGAGATGGTGTTACACAAGAGAAGAGACACAAACAGGATAGGAATGAAAGAGATAAATTAGCTTTGTTAACTTTAATTAGCTTCTGGATATTACTGGTTCTTTCGGTAAAGTCACGTAGAAGGGAAACAATAAAATAATAATATTGTTTCCCTTCTACGTGACTTTACCGAAAGAACCAAGAATATGAATCCCTGCAGTCACAAAAGCTTTAAATCAAAATTTAGCTTCTGTATATTTATCAGGTGTGATTTCAAGCTGGCATTTCCCCCCCAAAACTTAAGCTTATGAACAACTCACGTCAGTTAAAATAAAGTGGTGCTTGGATGATTTATCTGAGTTTTCCTGAGTTTGTCAATTGAGTTTGGCAGGTCTTTCCCAGAAATTTATATTCTTATGTAGGGAATTCAGGCCAACCTTCCCCCTCCCCCCCCCCCAAAATACATTTTAATAGGCAGCCAACTCGAATTGTCTGCAAGCATGAAAACATCTCCACGAGGGTCTGCAGGGGGAGGGGGTCGGAGGTGGAAGGGGGGTAGGAGAAGGTGGGGGTCAACTCGTGTACACATCTCTACTTCTGTGGCTATAAAACCAGGGTATTTGACATGTATTTGGCAAATGAAAGGATTGTCCACGGTCAATTGTGTTTGAGTGTGCAGGCAGTGCAACTGCACCGGGACCCGTGGGCCGAACGGGCCCAGGCTCTGGGCTACAACGAGGGAGGGAAGTGCGATCGAGTGCTGGAATTGGGACAACGTTGCGGGATGTGAACTCCCTCGCCCGGTGTACAGGAGGTCGTGAGTTCGATCTCGACCCTGACGCCTGTATACATTTGGAGTTTGCATGTTCTCTCTCCCCCCGTGGTCACGTGGATTTTTCGCTGGGTTCTCCGGTTTTTACCTCCACGTTTAGAATCAACAAGCGTTTAGAGTAATATGGTTGCTATACATTTACACATGACAAAGCCACTTCGCTGAGCTATCACTCGTGGCCAGGTTACTCCTGAAAAAAGAGCTATATAGCTCAGCGCGCTTTACCTGGTAGAACACATTTTTTTTTAGACCGTTAGTTAAGCGGTTAAGCCCCATTTTTAATTCGCTGCGCCAGTGCCCACACCGACAGCCACACCGAGCCGCCGCTACTGCTCTCCTCCGTGGCGCCACTCGCCTGCATGGGCGCTCCTCCTGCCCGTGATGGAGTAGCGCAGCACGCTCTCGCTGGGGTTGTACAGCGCAAACACGCGCTCCATGACGAAGGCCGGGGGCGCGTCGCCGGAGCGAGCGCACGCTGGCGCCACGGCGTCGTACGTCAGGTTCTGGGCCAGGTCCAGCACCAGCGAGGTCTGCTCGCCGTTGGCGGTCACCGTCAGCTGCTGCTGCGACCGCGCGGACATCGAGCCTGCAAAGACAAAGATTCGCCGCGTAGCCTTTAATATAGCGTGAGGGCAAGCGCTGTTAGCGAGCACCTTTGAAGGCAGGCACGGCACACGAGGGGGTGGGTGGCCAACACCACGCCCAGCCCTGGGAGGCCCAGGGCTCGTTCGAATAGTCGTCACTGGTGTGGGCCATGAGCGGGAACCAAACTCGGGTTGCCGGGTTCATAGCGGGGCGCGCTACCGCTCCCCACACGCGCGCACACACACACACGCATGAGTCTCTTCTGTCATGTTCGCTCGCTCGTGATCAGTGTACCTTTCTACTACGTGGGTTTCACCGGTTGTGCCGTACGGCCCGCCTCTGTGTTTGTTCCCTGTTTGTGCGGCGTGTTTTACGGCACGATTTTGTTGCTGGGAGCTTCTTCAGTTCCTTTCACATTTCCATTTCAACCACCGATTGCATGTATACATCCTTACATTACACAAGCACGTCAACTTGTGTTGATTATTACCGTGGGTGTAATGGCCGTAATTATACGTGCCTTCTGCTTCACAATGGACTTTCAAGATCTCGTGACGTCATTTGCAAGAGAAGGACATTGCGTGTGCCGGTGTCAGCGTCCAAATTATCCCAAAATTACACAGCAATTTTACTCAATTGGGATTATACACGGGAATAATCACCCCCTACTCGCAGTCTAAAGCCCCCAGGTCAATCTTGCAAATGAGACTCATCCTGGTCTCTGGAGTTGCCACCTGTTTTAATAAAATAAATGTGAAACTTGATATTTGAAGCATCTAGTGGGCTACACATTTCCCCACGTAAGCATATTCATTTAGGATGTAGATGGTGAAAGGCCATATCCGTAGTGTTGGACACGGCCAGGGATTGAACCTGAGTGGCTGGTTTCATAGCAGAGTACACATGCCAACACAGCAAAGGCAGAGATCTCCCATGTGGTCCTTCTAGACTGCTGAGTCCAGTTTTGTTCGCAATCGCCTATTAAGGCGGGCACGCCACATTAAGGGAGCGGTGCAGGCCAGCAACACACTTTTTCTTCCTAGCACTGACGTCTACACAACGCTGCTCTTTTTAAGGCGAGCCAATCTGAGAGAAGTCCATCAAAAGCTCAGATACCACTTGCCACTGACGTTAGCTGTGGCCGGGGATTTAAGGCGCCGGTTGCTGCCTCAGAGCGCAGTGCGCTAACCACTTCCCAACTGCACCCCGCACGCACATATAATGTTAACATAAGTACCGTTAACGAAGAGCAGTCAGTTTAAAACTATAGAGGAGAGAAAACTATTAAGTGAGGCCTTATTCCTCTACCTGTTATGGGCTGCTCACTCATCTTCCCTTCCCTGGTGCGGTGATGCCCATGATGATTGTAATTTATTTGGTTTATTTAATTCAATTATGCTGCCTTGCCTAAATTGACCTTCATTAATGTGTCTGTTTTTCATTCTTTGGCTACCCACGTAATCAGACCTTGGACATAAATACAAATTGTATTGTAATTGAATGTTATCAGCATATACAAAGACAGAAACTCCTCCCCCCCCCCCCCAACAACACACCGGGCCGCCTTCGTCTCCCAAGTGGGAATGTTTACACATCGCACCAGGTACTCATTTGAGGCTGAGTCGACCTAGGGGAGGCCCAGGACCGGTTCAGATAATCACTGGGTGTTGACTGTGAGCGGGAATCGAACTCGGGTGGCCCGGGTTCGTAGCGCAGCGTAGCGCTAACCGCTACGGTAATGCTCCCTAGCATACACACAAAACACTATCAGGCGCGCACACACACAGTTACATCATTATCAGACGCACACACGCAGACACATACACACACACTCACTAGCAGACGCACTATCTTAATTCAAAAAGTGCGGCACTTCAACATGATATCTTCGTTTGGTACAATTTATGCGGCCGATTTGCACAATTTTGTTTATAAACCCCTCACCACTTCCGATTGTTATCACTGAGCAGCAGAAAGAAGGCCTCCCTACCATTACCATGTTTACTGTTTTGATTTGCAAGACGTTGTTTGTTTTTATTCCCCACATTCTAACAAATCGTTGGGTGTGTGCCGATTGTAACAACTCTAATAATAATAATAAGTGGAGACGTGTCTACCTGGGCAGTCGGCACTTAACGCACACTCGCTTAATAGCGGCTGAGTTTAATTTAAAATTGCTTCAATTTTTTGTTTGTGTTGTTATATGTTTATGTATTTCTTTCCAGAGCTGGGTATCTTTTCTTGAAACCGAACACAACACTACCTGCGGTTAGTTTCTCCCTGCGTGCACTGAATCGCGTTGTTTGTGGTGTAGTTTGTTTGGTTGTGTGTGTGTGTGTATATATACTGTATATCATAAACGTTAGACACTCCATGCCCCGAGTATACTAGAAGACATACATCACACGTGTGTTTGTCTCCGGTCAGGCTTACCGCTATGGAGCCTTCGAGTCTTCGCAGCGTATAAATTAGGCGAATGCAACAGGGACACTACTACCGCAGTTTGATGGCGAGACAAAAATCTACCTGGGATTTTCCAATTCCATGTGATGAGTGTAAGCGGTTTCATTGATTAATATGAATTCGGGGGGCCTATATTTAATGCACCAGTGCTGGGCTGCAGCCAGACGAGCTCCCCGGGGAAGCAGCATGGATTTCGTGAGTTGAAAAACCCAAGACAGAGTGCATTGCCACAACAGGCTGGGGCCACGAGTAAGCACAATAACTGAAATATTTTCCAACTTGCGAGAGGTATACTGGATGCGGTGTGCCGGGGTGCAGAAATAATGTCAGGGTCAATGACCACGGACAGACCCGGTTGAAATGAAGTTGGGTATGGTTCCACAAACGACAACAAAACACACCCGTGTTAATTCAGTTGGTGAAGCTCAGGGTTGTGGTTTCAAGTCCAATTTTCCACGTATTAATTTTTTTTTACGCAACTGATTAATTTATTCCACTAATATACAGCTCTAAAGGCTGTTTTAAGATAAATACACTCGAAAACGTCAATTGCTCCATAGCATGCGTGTATTCGAGCTGACATGGTGACGGTTTGAATTGAAGGCTTCATTGTTGTTTTATTTTTAATTAAGCCGATGACGTGAATTGTTCAGGGGGCATAATATAAAAAGCCACTGTTCGGCTGACAAGCGCTAATTATCACGTGAAGGCGGTGTCAACGTTCCATAGTGACGAGCGGAGACTTGTGACCGAGCCCCGCTGCCACGGATACGCTCAGACAACGCCACGTGGTGTCACTGCATCTGGAGCCATTGCCCTGGTTTCAAGGCAAGTTGGACTACAGCACAGGGCCCAGTAACCACTGCCCTGGCCCCCATATACAGAACCAAACTCTTTGGGAGTATTGCCACAGCTGTTATAAATACTTCAATATTGTACTCCTATTATTATTATTCTTTTCGTCATCAAAAATAAACACTCCAACTACACATTTGAGAGACCGACGTAACATCTGTTGCTGATATTCATGCTGTTCCAGTTCCTGTTGCAATTGGAAAAAAGAAGGGGACCGAGGTTGCCCCGGATTGTGCATCGTCTGACTCCGCCACTTTTACAGACCATCCTTACGGAGCTGTCCTTTGATATAACTCAGCTCTGCTGTTGTTGACGTCACACCTTTCAGATGCCACTCCCTCGTGCGTAACGCAACGATGAATGTCCGCAACGACACATTTATATTTACGCGATCTAACCCAAAAAAAAACCTCTCATGGATAATATTGGTCGCGAAAGCCTACGTGTTCAGCTAACTCTGGAATAGTTTGCTTAACAAGCCTGACTCTGCTGATGAGACGCAGAAGGTCGAAAACGATCCAGAGTTTGTTTGCGGAACCAAACACCGCTTTGAAAATATTAGTCTGGAAAGCCAATATGCTGACGGACTAGAACAACATTTTGTTTGGAGAGAGAATGGAGTTCTGCTTCTTCTTATTCCGTATATCCTATGAAGAGTAACTAATACAGGATTGAGTTGTACTGTGATTCAGCCATCGCATTTCTTTGTCTGCGAGTTGGTGAATGACAGATACCCCCACATTTATATTTTAGGAAGTGCGCAGGGTCCATGGTTTGGAGTTCTTAGTGGCATTCGCACAGGGGAGAGTAATTGATTTTCCACTTGCTGCTTACATATATATATACCAACTGACCGACCGATCGTATCTTTTCTCAGATACAATCAAACGATATCTGTTGCGGGCGGGTGGTGGCGGTGAGAACCCAGGAGGCAGGCAGGGCGGGCGGGCGGGCGGGCGGGCGGGGGGACGTACCGGCGTGGTTCTGGTGGTACATCTCGGTGTAGGGGCCGGAGTCGACGCGGGCTAGCGGCTCCACGTAGGGGAGGCTTCCCGACAGCTCCACGCTGGCGGCCAGGTACCCGCGCGGGTCGAGCCCGGAGAAGCGCTGCGTCACGTGCAGACGCTCGCCGCCCGGCGAGAACGTCACGGTCGCGCGCTGCACGAGGCGCCCGCCTGCACGCACGGACCGCAGTGCGCAACGCGAGCACAACGTGATTGACAAGGACAACGTGATTGACAAGGACAACGTGATTGACAAGGACAACGTGATTGACAAGCACAACGTGATTGACAAGCACAACGTGATTGTCAATCACGTTGTGATTGACAAGTGCAACGTGATTGACAAACACAACGTGATTGACAAGGACAACGTGATTGACTGACAAGTACAACGTGATTGACAAGTACAACGTGACTGACAAGCACAACGTGATTGACAAGCACAACGTGATTGACAAGTACAACGTGATTGACAAGGACAATGTGATTGACAAGTACAACGTGATTGACAAACACAACGTGATTGACAAGTACAACGTGATTGACAAGTACAACGTGATTGACAAGTACAACGTGATTGACAAACATAACGTGATTGACAAGTACAACGTGATTGACAAGCACACGTGATTGACAAGTACAACGTGATTGACAAGTACAACGTGATTGACAAGCACAACGTGATTGACAAACACAACGTGATTGACAAGTACAACGTGATTGACAAGGACAACGTGATTGACAAGCACAATGTGATTGACAAGCACGTGATTGACAAGCACAACGTGATTGACAAGCACAATGTGATTGACAAACATAACGTGATTGACAAGCGCAACGTGATTGACAAGTACAATGCATGTACAATGACAATTTACAAATTCAATGTAAGCACAATGCAGGTTACAATTCCAATACAAGTACAATGTGGTTTATAATTACGGTAGACTTACAATGCCGTTTACAGTTGCTGCGCAATTACAATGCGGTTTACGACTACAACACCAGTGCAATGCAATGTATTATTGCAACACAATTCCACATGCAGTTGACGATTACAATGCAATCAAATGCAATGCGGAGTTGCGTCGTCTAAATCCAGGCGCAATCTCAATATGCCGAGCTCACGTCTCATCCCAAGGCTGCTGCGAGAGTCACGCAGCTCCGTGACCTCTGCCCCTCCGACTCTGTACCCTCGTCTCCTCCCCCTCCATTCCCCTCCCAAGCCAGAAGGAAGTGATCAACATTAATGTTTACATACGAACAAGGTCTAACATGTGCTTGGGCAAGCTTACACTAATTTTCGGCCGTGTTTTTTTTTCTTCCTTTAAACAAACAACACGGCCCTTTGAAATTGACCTTGCCACAGAACACGTTCGTTATTCCACGTTCGTTATTCCACGAGGCCATGATATCGTTTCCGAGGGTGACACGTGTTGGGTTAGCCCCAGTAAAACTGCCATGAATCCAGGACCAGCCCATGAGAAACCCCGGCACGAGATTACCGGATCGTGCGCCACTTGCTAAGATACTTGGTGGTCATGTACATAAGATATAACAATACGTTCACGTTTATGTACATGCCGCCTGTTAACGGACAAACTACGTATTCTAAACCATCTTCATCTTTAAAACAAACGCTTTGTTCCGCCTTGTGATGATTTGGCCGAGCAAACTGCTTTCTGTACTTGGTAAAGTGACATTCTGTCACCGAGCAGAAAATAACAATTTGGTAATTTTGGTAAATTATGGTAATTCGTATTAATTTGGACACAGCCACTTGCGCACAATGACCTAACTCTTGCAAATAATGTCATGGATCTATTACACCGCGCAAATATCGGCGAGTCACAGGCATATTTGTTAATGTGCACTCGGCGGATTATCACGGGGCTCAGGCTGGATCGAGATTGGTAAACCCTGAATCCACGTGAAATGGCAGAGATGCATAGGCCACCCAAGCACCGCATTAATTATGCCGTGGATCATTTTGCATTGCGGATAAATTACTGGATGGGTGAGTGGACCATACCCCTCCCGATTCTGAAAAAAATTAATCACGCCTCCTGCAGTGTGCAGAGACAGGCAGACGAAGCATTAAGCTAATGCGAAACGTTTCCACTCTAGGTAGAGGGTCTCATTCTTTTGAGAGGCATTTAACATTTATTCTTGTTACATAATCGACGAACTAGAATGCTTACCATAAGGTCCTACAATGATAAATGGCAGCCTGGGCTTGGCTGATTGGCTGAGGAGGTTAAGCAGGAGACAACTCAACACACGTCTTAGCAGGAGACAACTAAACACACGTCTAAGCAGGAGACAGCTCAACACACGTCTTAGCAGGAGACAACTCAACACACGTCTTAGCAGGAGACAGCTAAACACACGTCTTAGCAGGAGACAGCTAAACCACGTCTTAGCAGGAGACAGCTAAACACGTCTTAGCAGGAGACAACTAAACACACGTCTAAGCAGGAGACAGCTAAACAAGTCTTAGCAGGAGACAGCTCAACACACGTCTTAGCAGGAGACAGCTCAACACACGTCTTAGCAGGAGACAACTAAACATACGTCTTAGCAGGAGACAGCTAAACACACGTCTTAGCAGGAGACAGCTAAACACACGTCTTAGCAGGAGACAACTAAACACACGTCTAAGCAGGAGACAGCTAAACACACGTCTAAGCAGGAGACAACTAAACACGTCTTAGCAGGAGACAGCTCAACACACGTCTTAGCAGGAGACAGCTAAACACACGTCTAAGCAGGAGACAACTAAACACACGTCTTAGCAGGAGACAGCTCAACACACGTCTTAGTAGGAGACAGCTAAACACACGTCTAAGCAGGAGACAACTAAACACACGTCTTAGCAGGAGACAGCTCAACACACGTCTTAGCAGGAGACAACTAAACACACGTCTTAGCAGGAGACAGCTAAACACACGTCTTAGCAGGAGACAGCTAAACACACGTCTAAGCAGGAGACGAGCTGGTGAAATGATTCACACGTAGTCCTCTCTAACCCCCAGTGACTCGATGAATAGTCAAGAATTGTGGTCATGATTCGATTCACGATTCGATTTTGGGTGCCGTATTACCGACTTATTTATATTGTTTCTCGTTTTCCTTCCATTGCATCTGCTTCATGTGCTCACTCCTTTCTCCAGTCGAAAGGTGAAAATCATGATTTGATTCATTAATCAATTATTTTTTATCTACTTTTTTTCCAACTCATCCGTATTGCTTCTACTCTTCCCCTATGTCGTTTTTTTTCTCCTTCCTCCACGAGCGCAAAAAAGCACAAACATGAACGTGCACGTTTGCGCCCTTTGTAAATAATCGAATGTCACAACTCACGATGAGAATGCCGCAAGTGTCGCGAGCGCAACTACAAATCGGCGCGTCGCTAGCGAGCGCCAAGCGTGGACACGGTGATGGTGCTGCTAGCCCTTTCGATGCCTACGATCCTCGTGAGTTCACGGGAGATGCGTGTACGGGAGATGTGGCGAGGCTGGAGAAATGCAGACCCAACAACGGGAGCAATGGGGATAGGGGCAAGACGCCGGCATGGTTGGCGACGTACGGTGCAAAGGAAGTTCAACACACGTAGAGATGATGTCAGATGAGAGACGTCGAGACCAATTTGGAATTATGCGAGAGAACAGAGCTACAGACAAGATAGGGATGAGAGATGTATTCATTTGTATATATCAATTAGCTTTTTTTTATTTAAAGCTTTCGTGACTGCAGGAATTCATATTCTTGGTTCTTCCGGTAAAGTCACCACCACGTAGAAGGGTCAGAACCAAGAATATCAATTAGCTTGTTACGTTTATTAAGGATTTCAATTATCGCTGACATTTTATTTTCCCTTTCTCTCTCACGAACTTGGGGACACCCTGTGCCAACTTGCCTCCACCCCCCTTGCCTCGGATTCCTTTGCTTTAGGCCTGGCACCACCACCGAGTGCACGATATCCGCACGATAACCACGCGATAACCGCACACACGATGTCCGTACCGGCAACGCCGAAGCCGCGCTGACCGCCCTGCCCGGGCGAGTAGAGCCAGGCGAGGGGCGAGGCGAGCGAGGGCAGCAGCTGCAGGGCCCAGCCCAGGCCCGGCGGCACGCGACTCACGGCCGCGTAGACGCGCCCGTCCGCCGACACCACGTAGGCGTGCAGGTCGGCCTCGGCCAGCTCGGACTCCACGCCGCCGAGCCTCACGCGGCCGCGCACTTTGCCGTTGACCCGCTGGGGGTGGCCTGCGGCGGCGAGCGGGGCACAATTTCATGCAGATGCCCTCAAGTGGGGGTGATGGCAGCCACGGGGATGGACCCCCTTCGGCCCTCGAGACACCGCTTCGCCACGTTCGAAGTGCAATGTTGTTATACTTGTTCTTCGTTCCGCGCAGCTCAGATGAGCACGGGCTGGCTACGTACGGTGTGAAAGAAGTTCAAGGTGCGTACACGCGGCGTGCATCCGTACGGCCGAGGTTGATGTCGAGCAACAACCGAAAATGTTACATTGAGGTGGTGGGGCCGGAGTGTACGTATTTGTTAATCGGGCATTGAGTCCCACGGTGGACACAGTCGAGTTTTTAATTTTCCATTTGTGGATCATCATCAAGTATCCGCACCTGATGCCCCGGTTTGTTCGGATGTGCTATTGGGTTGCCCGTAAGCTTCACGGAAATGCTGTTCTGTTGCACTGCAACTCGTAGCGATATTAGAATCAAAATCTGAATGTTTTCCCGTGAGGAATCCGATTAACTGTATCGCTCTTTTTTACAGTTTCAGTATTCAGTTTCATTGATTAGGTGTATCCATGTGAGCCACGAGGCTCTTGAGTCGGGTGCAACCGTAACAAACAAATTATGAACACAGGACATCTTAAAGTGACGTTTCGTAACAGAAACATCCAGGAAAAACCAGTAAAAATGTCCAGTACGGGCGGGAAAGAACGTTGACACCAAAACAAACACTATAGAACAACACGACAGAAGTACAAAGAACAGGAAATTCAATCAAATCACTCAAAAACATACACATTCAACTGAACCATCCCCATCCTACCAGGCAAAGCCTGCTGAGGAATGTGAGGGACGAAGGGGGGCTGAGTACCTCCCCCCCCTCCCACCCTGCTAAATTATTATGGGCGAGGTGTCAAAAAATATTGGCACAATTTGTTTGGTATAATTAAGAGATGGACATTGCAGCCTTTCCTCATATACACAGGGGGGGGGGGGGTGAGAGCCGGAGCAGAATGCACGATAGACAAAGCAGATCGTATCGTTACTCATTACGCTTAGCGGTTAACATTCGTTTAAAGTTTGTTTAACATTGACTGTCGCGTGTCCCCCCACCCCCGAGTCTTTGTATGCAAGGTCACGCGACAGGGTCGCATTGCTCTGATAAACCCTGAAGGTAATTCGGTAATTAAAGTCAAAGCATCGCTGCGCTTATTACTACAGCGCCGAAATTACAGTTATTTTTAAAACCGGAACAGAAATAGCAAAGTTAAATAACACCGGAATGTTGCCGCATTGGTGGCTACCCAGATGTGAACTCAGGCGTTCGACAACGACGGCTCAGCGCTCTGATGCCCCTCGAGGCTTCCGGCCACCTCAATGTTGATCAGCCCAACTTTGATGCCACTGAAGCACGCTGGCCTCGCTGGGCACGTCAGCTGAGCCCCGTCCACGGTGATACTGGCAAAGCATCGCTTGCAAAGTGCTCAAGTCACTGCAGGCACACGGTCGATTATGTATAAATGTGTTTAGCCCTTTGGATGAGTTTGAGACGAGCAATACGTACGTGCAGTTTACCCTTAAGCCAAGCTATCAGCCATTTGATTAAGGTAAATGCACAAGTTGTATCCACAGGAGGCAAACAAACCGAACGAATTCATACACATAGCCAATAGTCCACACGTGGGATGCCAATTTATTTATCGAAATAGAGATTTGGTTGTAAGCGTGATAGAGATATTGTGGTCAGTGAGCGTAAAAAAAATAACATAACACATAACGTACAGCACTGCGTCAGTCCACTGCTGGACGAGCGCTTTTTGGTCATGGATGTTGTTTGTCTTTATTTCAGCCTGCTGGATGAATGTACTTCAGCAAGCCGGTCAATGTACATCAGCCAACTGGTGAATGTACTTCAGCAAGCCGGTGAATGCACTTCAGCCAGCTGGTGAATGCACTTCAGCAAGCTAATTGTTAACTTTTTTTTTTTACCAGATAAGGCCCACTGAACTATATACCTTTTTTTCAGAAGCGTCCTGGTTATCACAAATGATAGCTCAACAAAGCGGCTTTCACGTGGGAATGTGCAGCAGCCAAATATTCTAGTCGCGTGTTTCTAAATGTGGAGGGAAAAACCGGAGGACCTGGAGAAAAATCCACGCGAGCACGGGGAGAACATCCAAACTCCAAATACACAACAGGCGTCAGGGTCGGGATCGAACCCACGCCCTCCTGTGTACCAGGCGAGGGATAGATATGAATATTTTAGAATGCAGTCTCTTGATTACGAATAGTATGGAATGCAATGGCTTACATGACATGATGCACAAAGCAAAGGACATTGACAGAACACACATTTCTTTTCATAGTGTTTTGCTTTTTTCACAGCAACGAATTTTCAGATTAATTGCCACTACATTTCTATATATCAACATGCTTTAGGGTCATGAATGATTAAAAAAATGTGAATTATTTACCCAAATAAATAAATAACATGTTAAATAATTGAACACATTTGATCGATACAGAAATTCGATCTCATCGAATAGAATCCCTTGTTATTTAACGATGAAAGAGAACGTGGGTGGGACACGAGGCAAAGACGCAGCCCTGCAAGTGCTCGCTCACTTCACTACTGGCAGAAGGCCCTCCACTAGGAGCTCTGGAGAGTGCTGTAGACCGAATTTGGCCTACTCTTCCACATCGGCCAGACATCTCGGAAGAGTTAAAAGTACTCACACTTTACCCCACGAGCTGACAAACGACTAAATATGGTTCCCCCCCCCCCCCTCGACCGCAGGTCCGAGTGTGCTGACTGTCACACCATGGCAGAGCATTGCCGTTGGATGGGACATTAAGACCGGTAGAAAAACAGGCTGACGATCACATTGGCTTCGTGTGGCATGGCTCACCGTCCTGGAAGCAGTCCTTTCCGTTGCCCAGATGTCCCGACCGGCAGTGGCAGCAGAATCCAGTCGCGTGCTCCGTGCATTCGGCCAGGGGGGAACATTCCGCACGGCCCGTGTCGCAGCCCTGACGAGGGGGGACTGCACCACCCTCATTATCACAACCACCATCAACAGCAACACTTTCACGAATACCACTATCATCACAACACCATCACTGCCATCATCATCATCATCACCACATTACCACCATCATTTTCACACCACTCCACCACCACTACGAACCACCACCACTGCCACAACTCTCATCACTGCCACAACACTATTAGTATTATGATAATTCTCTCATGTATTTCCATAAGCACGTGGAATATAATTTCGTTTTTGCGGAGCGTGTCATGGAATAACGACGGCGAGTGATGTGAGACGTTTCAGAATGTAAATATTGCTGCAGAAAGTGCCAACTCAGAAGGTGAGTAGAGGTGTTGACATTCCATACATTTCTTTCAAATTAACCGCTCACTGAACTAAACAACTTTACGTAACGGCACTGGTGAATAACTGCTACATGCCCACGATAAAAGTGATGTTACTCTAATTCCATCTGAATTCCATTACTATTGATGAATTGAAAAATGTTTGTTTTGCCTGCCATTCTGGTGATAACTCGAGAAGCTATCGGTTGAGAAAATAACCTGAAATCATAACAAAATAAATCGACTTTCCACATCGTTCGAGGGCGAGCGACCTGGCCTGGAAAAGCGGGCAACAACGTTTAAGGAAGCAACGGCTCAGCGAGCACCGCCTCTCTGCCATCTGCAAGTCTCAAAGCAACAGTTATGGAGCAAATACCAGAGAGTGCACAGACGTACATGTATGGACAAGGCGAAGGGGGAGAGAGAGAGAGAGTGGAGATCGCAAGCCATTCGTCTTCCATCCATTGTGGAGAAAGGATGGCAGCTCCGGGCATTGCCGCCAAAGTTGCCTGCACGGGTTGTATTTACTAACATTCTCTCATGAGCATGAATAAAGGTAACATACACGTTTATACCATTTGCATATCACTTTCATTCGTTGAGTGTGTGCAAGGTCCTGCTCACCGTAGTGGTTGTAGCGCGGCACCTGCGCTACGTCGCCTCTGCCTGACTCTGGGTAACTCTGGGGATCAGGGTAAGGCTGTGGTTGGGACTCAGGGTAAGGCTGTGGTTGGGACTCAGGGTAAGGCTGTGGTTGGGACTCTGGGTAAGGTTGTGGTTGGGATTCAGGGTAATATTGTGGTTGGGACGCATGGTAAGGCGGTGGTTGTTGGTCAGGGTAAGGCTGTGGTTGGGACTCAGGGTAAGGCTGTGGTTGGGACTCAGGGTAAGGCGGTGGTTGTTGGTCAGGGTAAGGCTGTGGTTGGGACTCAGGGTAAGGCTGTGGTTGCTGGTCAGGGTAAGGATGTGGTTGGGGGTCATGGTAAGGCTGTAGTTGAGGGTCAGGGTAAGACTGCTGGACGTGATATTGCCGCTCGTCGACGCTCTGCTGTGGATCTCCCTCTCGACGGCCGTGCTCCCCAGGCTGCTCGTGCCACTGCCGCTCGGGATGCCGCTCCGGTTCTCGGTGACCGTCGTGAGTCTGCTGGCCGTCGGGAAGCTGCTGCGTCCGCTCGTCGGCGCCGTAAGGGTCCGGGTAGCGCTGGGTGATGCGGTGGCCGGGTGCCGGGTACGGGTAGGGGTATGTTTCTGGGTAAGGTGGCGGTTGGGCACGGGGTGCGGGCTGGGTGGGCGCCGCGGGCCTCGGGTGCTCCTCCAGGTCATCGAGGTCGGTTTCGTCGGTGTACACCGGGTAGAAGTCGTCATTTCCGTTGGCAGGATCTTGCAAGTCCCACTTAGGCAAAGGAGCAAGATTGTATTGGTGTTGCAGTTGCCAGACTTCTTCTGAACTCTTCGCCGGTTCAATGTCCTCTAATCCGGAGGCACTGCCTATGTGGAAAACCCAAACGCCCTGAGTTCCAGAGTTCCCCGTCCTGAAAAACAGCAATGTAAATACACGCATGCGTTGAAATTGCAATCTATAATATACAGCCCTTTAACAATCCACTGTCGGATGAAAGCCTCACCAAGCCGTATGTACAGAACTAAGAAAGAAGATTTGGGATAACAAACTTTAAAAAAGTGACGTTCCATTGTAATGATTAATGAGATATTGTGGATAATGAATATAAATAAATAACTACATATTTTATAGCCCTTTGTCAATCCACGGGCGGATAAAAGCCCGCCCTGTGCCGCGTTAGACAGTAGTTTGACCATACTTCACCACGCTGGTTCAGTGTGGGTTGGTGAATGGGCGGACCCAGAACCGGCTCACATGACACTCGGCAACTGACGTTAGCCGTTGTCGGGAATCGAACTCGGATTGCTGAATTCATAATGCAGTGTGTGAACCACTGCGACACCGCTTACCTTCCAACGTTGAAATACGCCTACATTATTCGATATTGCTGATACATTTACATGCATACATGCAGCACACACACATACATTCACAACCAAATTCTCCCTGCTCCACATAAAGGGAAGTTCTATCGATCATATTGCCCGGAATATGCCTCTTGTGTATAATTAAAGCACAATAAGACTGCAGCAATAGGTTCATGGATTTTTTTTCTTATGCAATCAATTTATTAAAATAAAATGTACCCGATACAAGAAGAAAAGTTCCCATCACTGCTTGCATAGGCGTACCGTGCAAGGGCACGAAGTGCATTACAGTTGCAGAAAAACGAAACTTCAAGGGGTAAAACCATCAATGTGTCCGCCGCCCCAAATCTACCAAAGTTTTTAAACGAACTGTGTCCCAGAGCGATGCAATCAATGTGTAAAAGCAAACCACAGGATGCTTTTCTTTCCCGCCTCTTCTATAAAACAGCAGCAGCGACAACAACGGGACCCCCAAACTTTGGTGAGGTACCTTTTGAAGAGCACGGGCGCCGAAAAAAAATCACAGCGAGAGATTGTGGGCCAATAAACCGGCAGTTTCCCTCCTGCCGGGGAGGGGGGCCCTTTCTCCCGCTCCGTGGCCTAACAAAAGCTACCTCCCCCCCCCCGTGTGCTTATTAGTTGCGAACCCCAGCAGCGAGGGTGGTGACGAGGCGTGAGCACGGCGGATCTTTAATAATGGTCGCTGGTCGCGGCGCAAAGTGGTTTTGGAGGGCTGCTACGCTGTGCACCGGGCAACCCAGTGCCCTCCCACCTAACGGGCACTTGAAACAGAGTGGTGAAGTATGGTCAAGCGACCCCACCCCCCCCCCCACACACACACACACACGCACCCCTCCTCTCCCCACCACGACCGACACGGCAAGGGGGAGGCCGTCATCCAGCAATGGTTTTGACAAAGTGCTCTGAATTACTATCATTATTTTCAAAACAATAAATGGGGTGAAACGGAGGAGGAACCACCTCGGCGACCTACGGCAGGGGAATTTAAAACGAACGAAGGCGGCTTCCCAAACACACACGCGTAGCGTGCAGCAACTTGCGTCACGCGAATAATTATTAAGATGCTTTGCTGCGCGAATCATTAAAATATACAGTGGCTCTATCAACGTAGCTTAAACGCACCCGGTGCACTTTCGTGCGAACAAAAAAAAAAGAAATCCCCCCAGGTCCGACTTAAAAGGTTAAAATAAAAAAAAATGAACGATATCCAGGTTCAGCAATTCCATTGCTTGCTTTGTGCCACCGATGGCCTAATGACTTCCACTCGAGGGCCAGTCTCGGGAGCCGTCCTCGAGCTTGGCCTAATCGCCCACACCGCTGGCCAGACGTCTTGGAGGAGGTGAGAGGACTGTGCCCGCATATTCTTTTGGAGCCTGCCACGTGCGACCGGCCGATCAGCTCACCGTGGTGAATCCACGCGTGCACTGCTGGGTTGGACAGGGGCTTGGGGGGTGGTTAAGACACTGGGACCATCGAAGAGGAAACGTCTGGATTTGCAAGCCCAAGTGTGCGAGCCATTACGCGTGCAAAGATTCGATGCTAATTCAGGCACTCCTCACCTGCTTGCTAAAGGTTGAGGAGAGGCGAAATGACGCACCGACGATTAAACGCATTTTTAAACAGACGTGACAACTATTAGAGATACTGGGCAAACACGTTCTGCCTATGCAAGGCCGATTCTCAGCACGTTTTGAAAGTAACGACATTAAGGAACACAAGAACGTGCACAATCTGTGCTCGTCAGCCGAATGCTCGTCACTCGGATGGCGGGAGAGGGTTAATTATTATTATTTCTTCTTCACGGAGCTGCCGTCCTCAGCGGCAAATTTGGATTCCCTCGCATTTGTGTTCATCACTTTCAGCCGCTTCGGGGTGGCGGTGGTAGGGGTGGTGGCTGGTTGTGGGGGGTGGGGGTACGGCACGGTGGGGGAGTGGCCCCCATGGTATCCGACCGGAGGATGATCGCTCACAAACGGGCCTCATGTTACGCTCCTCAATGGCTCACTGTCTCCGCTGGACAACAACAAGCGGCGTGTCGCGGAGTAACTCGCGGCTCCCGTCTAATTGAAAACACTCCCCGACCCCCCCCCGCCCGCCCGCTCCACCTCCCCCTCCCCGCCCCCCCGCCTCCACCAGCAATGAATGGACCACATTCTGCCAGGAGCCCCCGGAGATGAACAAGAGAACAAGCATTTTCTTCTCAACGATTTTGGAATTTTGGACGTGACCTGCGCTTCTCTCTCTCGCGTGGGGTGATCGTGGCCCCGATGTCGTGCGTAGGCCGAGAGGCGCGTTGCCACGAGGGGACTCATATTGCGTAGATTGTCGATTCTCTCTCTCTCTCCTCTCTTTCTCTCTCGTTTTATTGCAATGTTGTTCTTTCAGAGCAACAACTACAACTTCACATCCAGGTGGTGAAGCCAGATCACCGCGTTGGGGGCAGCGGAGTGCGTCGCTGTGACGTCTCCTTCGAATTTGTGGCTCTGGTTTATTGCGAGGAGACGGCACGTTTTCGCCCCTTTAACACGTAGGCTTTTGCGACCAATGTCATCCATAATGCAGGTTGTTTTGGGTTCGGTCGCGTAATTTTGGGACAAAAAAAGAGTCGATCTTTGTAAATTTACGCGATATAACCCCCAAAAAACTCTTATGGAAGTTTTCGTCCGTCGAATCAGACCAGTGCAAGTCCCCCTCGCCTGCGAGCAAACACGTGTTTGCTTCAAGCGAGGATTAGCAAAGTGAGGCACCATTGAAATCCTTTCTCTTTGTCCCCCGCGCTCCAAAAAACCTCGGGCAGATGACGAGCGAGACTCTGGCTGCGCAGGGCTCTCTCCCCCCGGGAGTTGGTGCGTGCCCTGGCACTCTAACCGGGAGTCCCACACAGACCCTCTCCACGCTCAACAGCACGGAGCAGTCGGTGAAGAACCTCAACCAGTGAGTGGCGCGCGAACACGTCTCTCTCTTCTGGATTTTTTTTATTCTAGATTTGAAGCTCTCTCTCTCCGTATTTAGTTTTTTAAGTCCCGGGTTCCGTTTGTTGAACGGGGCGAGAAATCCCACCTGACCCCCCCCCCCCCCCCCCCCACCAATGATGCCAGTCCCGATTCGGGGGGGGGGCGTGATTCAATACAAAGATCGACTACCTTTATTTGGGGGGGGTCTTTTTTTAACAGTCCCAATTTGTATCGATCCCCTAATTTTTTGTATCATTTCAGTTTTGTGCGCTGCATTAGCCTCCGTGTGACGTGGGCACCCCGTTAGCGTCTCATACCCTCCAGAGGGACTCTTCAGAGCTCACTCTAGCGGAGGCCCCGCCAACAGCGGTGGTGATGAATAGAAATTGCAGCGCTGCGCCTTTACCTTTTAACCTTTAGCAAAAGCTAGGCCGTTAAATGATACAAGTTAAAGGTTGCGCTTTTCACTTTTGTCATTTGCGTTTATTTTTAACGATTACACCACGCCTACCACGCAGCACGTCGTGAATTGATTTTAATCGACGATTGGATGCACGCCTTCCTGCACAGGCAGCTTTGTCAACAGCTCGGCAGGGCGCTACCGTGACCGGGAGGATGCTGCCAGCGCCGACTCAACAAACGTATTCACGGCAAAGGAGGCTTTCTCTTGGATTTACTCGGGCGGTTTCACGCGGCTACGTGCTTATACCTCCTTAGCCCGTTTCAGCACTCAGAACACAGGCGGTGTTTTTTTGTGGACTGCGCGTCTAAGAAGGCAAAATGAGAAGGGATGTCTCGTAATTTTAGGGCGTCGGAGCGGCGGCGCAGTAGTAAGCGCACTTCTACACGAATACACTGGCTTGGATTCGATTCTAGGCCACGGCTAGCATCGGCGGTGACTGATTTTTGTCCCCGTCGCTGGCCAACGCTGCGAAGTGGAGCTGAAACAACCACCACGGAACGGTGTGTGTAGGGAGGCCTTCATCCGGCAGTGGAGTGACAAACAGCCACATGAGGATCATTATTCGTGACCTCACACAAAGCGTGCGTCAGTCAGCTTCACTGCCACCCATGGTCAATCGACTGCCGGATGAAGGCTTCTCCAAACCGTTGCCAACTCGCGCGGCATGGGGAGGCAACTCGTGAAATTATGGAATGACAATAGGAAGCAGATTATTTCAGGGGGGGGGGGGGGTTATATACCAGGGTGATTATGGCCATGGATACAGAAGTTTGAAGAAGAAAAAAATGATTCATTCTATTTGTGTGATGATAGATATAGAGCTACTTGCTCCCGATTAAGATGAATGCACAATTACATACAGAGACAATTACACGTACAGACAATTACATCTCGAGACAATGAGTTGATGATAAGGGGGTGCATTCTGTACGGGGCTGTTCAATTTGATGCAGCAGCAGATTAATCTGCAATGCTATTTACACATTCCCCACAGCAGATGTTGCCAAAATAGGTAAGTAATGAACAGATTCATATGAGAGTGTAATTACACTGAACTCGAAAGATGGTGGTGGTGATGAAGATTATATGAAACAAATAATAATGTTTGAAAAGCAAATTAAGCAGGAACAAAAAAAAGTGTGATATAAAAACACCTACAACGATAGCAATTGTTTTGCGTTAAACTTGCTAATTGTGTACAAAACAAGTGTTGTGCCTGCATGCATGATCAAAGAATAACACAGTTATATTTATAACGCAACCCTTTCACACGACTGCACGGTGATAACGATGATGATTAACTTGCCGATGTGGATAGCAACGACGATTGGATTTAAGATGATGATGTTGAGAATGACAAACCTTTAATGATGATGCTGCTGATGATGATGATGACGATTGACTTGTTGATGATGACAATTGCTGACAATGATGACGATGGCGATGGTAACGACGCAGAGACTGGACGAGTGATTATTAACAATTCTGATAAAGACTGACTCACTGATGACGGTGCTGATGCTGACCATTACGACGGTAACTGACAATTGACTGACGTGTTGCCATTTTGTCAATTTTGCGAAAGAAGTTCACCCTTGCAAACGAGGCCTGCCGCGTCCGCGTCACTGGGACTTCTCGCCCCGTTCAACAAACGGAACTCGGGACTTAAAAACTAAACACAGAAAGAGAGAGAGCGAGAGAGAGAGAGACGTGCTCGCGTGCCACTCACTGGTAGAGGTTCTTCACCGACTGCTCCGTGCTGGTGAGCGAGTAGGCGCGCCCTTCCGCTGCTCCGTCGCTCGCTCCACCGCTGAAGCCGACGCGAGCCGGCAACTCCAGGTTGGCGTAGAAGGAGGCGCGTGGCCGCGTCCCGAAGAAGCGCAGGCCGTCCTCCGGGTAGAGGAATAGAGCGTACGTGTCCGCATGGTCCCACGCAACAACTGCCTGGAACGTGTTAGCCTGCAAGGATATACAACAGCAGCATGTCATTGAATCCTATGTAAGGCCCCGCCTGCCCACCCCGTATAACGGACTGTTGGGGCAAGTGCTGTTAGCGAGCGGCACGGCACACGAGGGGGTGGGTGGCCAGCACCACGCCCGGCCGCCTTTGTCTCCCCAGTGGCGATGTTTACACGCCACGCCAGGTACTCATTTGAAGATGAGTCGATCTAGAAGAGGCCCAGGACCGGTTCAGAAGATCCTCACTGATGTTGGCAGGAAGCAGGAATCGAACTCGGTTCGCCAGCTACGTAGCACAGCAAGCCAACTGCTACACTGCCACTCCCCACAATACATTTACACACAATATAGGACGTTATATATTAGATATGCATGTTCTCACCATTGTCTTCATCATCATTGCCATCATCTCCATCGATATCAGCATTAACATGTGTAACAATTATCAACATCTGTAACAATCATTATCACTGTCATAATCACCATCAACTGCGATCATCACTATCATCGTCATTATCATTGTCATCACAAACAATGATCATCACTGTCAACATCATCGTCCAAACTGCCATCATCATTGTCATTCCTGTCAACATCATCACCAACCATCACTGTCATCGTCCATAATCGATCATAACATCCATCGCTTTATTTACTCAGGCCTTTCGCTAATTGTCACGAAGTGCGGTTGCCATTACGAAAGGGAGGAATCCACGTGGAGTCATTTCAGAAGTGGAGCAGGGGGTTGGGTCGGACAACAGGCGGCAGGGGATAGTGAAGCAGCAGGGTAAGAGTCGGGGTCCGTTGGTCCAAACTCGGTGGAATCTCGGACCCGGGCTATGAAACCCAATTTAATAAAGAAGTGCGGCGGATAAGCACCCTCAGCGCGCAGAACCAATGGATTTCACCGCCGTGTTTTAGAAACCGACCGAAATTGAACTTAACATATTAAACCTAGAAAAAAAGCCGTAAAAAAAAACTCCGTGCAGATGCCGTTCACTACACTGGGAGACTCGAGGGGCTAATGCCCACCAGCAGGGAAAATGGTCTGAATATTGAGTAATTCACTGTACCCATTAATTTTCTTTGCCCACCAATTAAATGAAAATTACAATTCTCCACCATATACTTTTTTGTATGAAGTTCGCAGCTGTAGTTTTACGTAACATGTACATGTAAAGTGTTGCAATATCCAGAGTGCCTAAATCCTGACCATTAATGGGGGGGGGGGATGTTATACATAGAAACACTTAAGCCTTTTAAGATTAAGGTTATCCATTTTAATTGCTTTCTCAATCGCAGTTTATTCAAATTGTACCATCGGCGTCAAGTCAAATTTCCATTCGTAACTCTGAGAGTGAGCAGTGTACCACCTGGTACGAGAGAACAGCCCCAAGTGATGATGTTGCAGAGCAACTCCTGAAATCCCTTTGGCGGGCCTCTTGATCCAGACTTGCGAGGATACCATACTCTTTGGTTCTTTCGGTAAAGTCACGTAAGGTAGAAAAATAAAACAAAATAAAAAATATATATCACGACGTTTCGATCGCAACACAAGCGGTCGTCCTCGGGCGGAAAAAAAAATCCAGCAGTGGAACTGCTGCACCGGTTCAGCAGCTCAACTGCTGGATAATGAACCGGTTCAGCAGTTCCACTGCTAGATTATTTTTTCCACCCGAGGACGACCGCTTGTGTTGCGATCGAAACGTGATATATAATTTTTATTTTGTTTTATTTTTCTACCTTACGTGACTCTACCGAAAGAACCAAAGAGTATGGATTCCTGCAGTCACGAAAGCTTCAAATCAAGATTGCGAGGATACCATTGATACGCTCTGGAAAGGGTGCTGGATACAAATCTAAATATATATTTGCTAATTCTTAAAGCTGAAATTTTTGCTCAAATAAGTGAAAACCCATATTGAGTATGTGCTTTTTTTGGGCACAGTCATTTGAGACTGGGCAGAGACCATTAATTAACTACATTTGAGTACCCAGTTTAATAATGTATCTGCACGTATAAAATGTAAGTATTTATGTCCACTTATTTATCGCGTAACTTATATTCTCCACAACGGCGCTCCCGATTACGATTGTTTTTTGTTGTTTGTTTGTGTTACAGTCCAATAACGGGCGACTGAATCCCAGGTTTCGATGCCCGGGATCTCAGCTGCGCTGGCTCAACGCTCTAACCCCGAGGCCACGAGGCCACCCTTCTGACGGAACATTTTAAACAGATGCCCCGTAATACCGGGACTGCAGTGTGTATGTGTGTGTGGTTGTGTGGCAGTGTGTATGTGTGTGTGTTTTGCACACACACGCGTTACTACAATCGCCATTCGGTCCCAGAAGATGAATAGCTGGATGCAACATATATAGTGTGAAGCATGACAGCCAATCCAGGTTCGGCGCTTAACAGGGCACTGGAGGAATTTCTTTTTTCCACTGAAACCATAACGCTCCTGCACACGTGTGAATTACGAGTCTGTGTGCGCGAGTGTTAAACTCACCCATCCGTCTGCACTGGCGCAGTAAATTGTGTTCACATGCACTGTGAGCACAATTTGGATCACTCTTGATACAAAATAACCTAAATCTAATAATGTGAGTCCATTGCCATGTTGCTGTGTCTTTAAGCATCGTTGAGAGAGGCGTGATATGCGTTACTTCAAGCAGTATAAATATGCACGAGCACACAAAATCTCTTTCCTCGAAAGCTACACATGATAAACATCAAAGTCATGCGGAACAACATCCGCAGTCGGTATTCGTTCCAGAATAGCAATTCTGTGCAACGGATTTAAATATATAAAGTGAAAAGCAACATGCCGGTGCACGTGCAACAGAAGGTTTTCACAAATTTCAATCGGCACGTGCAGGGTCGGAATCAAGATTGTGTAGGCCCCTGGGCTACAGGAACTGTGAGGCCCCTGTGCTACAGGTACTGTGAGGCCCCTGGGCTACAGGAACTGTGAGGCCCCTGGGCTACAGGTACTGTGAAGCCCCTGGGCTACAGGTACTGTGAGGCCCCTGAGCTACAGGTACTGTGAGGCCCCTGGGCTACAGGAACTGTGAGGCCCCTGGGCTACAGGAACTGTGAGGGCCCTGGGCTACAGGTACTGTGAAGCCCCTGGGCTACAGGTACTGTGAGGCTCCTGGGCTACAGGTACTGTGAGGCCCCTGGGCTACAGGTACTGTGAGGCCCCTGTGCTACAGGTACTGTGAGGCCCCTGGGCTACAGGAACTGTGAGGGCCCTGGGCTACAGGTACTGTGAAGCCCCTGGGCTACAGGTACTGTGAGGCTCCTGGGCTACAGGAACTGTGAGGGCCCTGGGCTACAGGTACTGTGAAGCCCCTGGGCTACAGGTACTGTGAGGCTCCTGGGCTACAGCAACTGTGAGGCCCCTGGGCTACAGGTACTGTGTAGGCCCCTGGGCTACAGGAACTGTGAGGCCCCTGGGCTACAGGTACTGTGATGCTCCTGGGCTACAGGAACTGTGTATTCCCCTGGGCTACAGGTATTGTGAGGCCCCTGGGCTACAGGAACTGTGTAGGCCCCTGGGCTACAGGTACTGTGAGGCCCCTGGGCTACAGGAACTGTGTAGGCCCCTGGGCTACAGCTACTGTGAGGCCCCTGGGCTACAGGTACTGTGAGGCCCCTGGGCTACAGGTACTGTGAAGCCCCTGGGCTACAGGTACTGTGAGGCCCCTTGGCTACAGGAACTGTGTAGGCCCCCGGGCTACAGCTACTGTGAGGCCCCTGGGCTACAGGCACTGTGAGGCCCCTGGGCTACAGGTACTGTGAGGTCCCCAGTAATATTTTCAAAAGGAAAACACAGTTAAAGAAAAATAAAATGTATTTTTTGCAAGGCTAACAACAAATACCATTCAGCATTCACAAATGAATTAACTTTTCACTGAATCTCTGGAGGCCCTCCAGCTGGCGGGGGCCCCTGGGCTTCAGCCCCGTGTCTTAATCCGGCCCTGGGCACGTTTTACCTGCCCGCGACGTGCGGATCGTAAAACAAGACATGGACTCTGACAACGAACGCTAAACAAAAGCCGAAAAGTGCACGGGAGAAGCACGGGGAAATGCGTCCTGGGAATTACACGGAGCGAGAGAGAAAGGGAAACACATGGATCTGAGAAGGAATGCAAATGGGAGAGACTTCGTTTTGACTGTTGAGGACACATCACCGGAACGGACGGGGTGATGGCCGACCGAGAAAGATTGGTGACAGAAAGGCGGTGAAGGGTTGAGAACGCGCCGCCGAGGGAGGATGACCACCGCTGAGTGGGAGCGATGAGATGAGCCATTGTGCAGGAGTGGCATCGTGGGTTCAAGAGCGATGGTGAGGGTGGAGGGAGGCCTTAATCATGGTCACGGTTGGTTATGATGAGCAAGAAAGCAATACAGTATGTTGTTTCATCACGTTCCACACACACACATGTACACGCCAACATACATATAAACAACGCAATATTACCATGTGCTATACATGTTGACAATCTAATGCTCCACAAGAGCTATGCAATCTGAAATTTGGCACAACTACAGCTGATCTCATGCTTAAAATTGAACAGGCAAAATTTTCACCCTTGAGGTTTTTTTGTTTGTTTGTTTCACTCGTGGGGGTGGGCTCAGCCTCAAATTCCACGTCGCTTTACGCCTCGTGCTAAAGCTGATCCCCCATCATCGGCGAACTGAGCAATTTGCCTCCCGTGACGAATGACGCTGAAGCCGACGGAAAGCTGTGCAGAGCCGGTCGCCTCCGCGAGGCTGTTCGTGGCGCGGCGATCCCCGGTGAGAAGGGATGGCCGGTGTCTGTGACTCCCGCTTGAAACTGCCCCGGAGCCCACACAAACGTGAGGGTGTGCACGCTCCTTGCCCGGAAGGTGAGAAAGTGTGGACAGAGACGCTGTCGATGTGCTCGCCGGCGTCTCTGTCTCGCGGACCGTCCATCTGGCGATACGTTGAGAGCAACGAGCGGCCACGCTTTGCATGTTGAATTGCATATTTGTGAGGAGGGGGGGGGGGGTATAGTGGCGGGCGCGCCTGGCGAGGGCAAAATTGCTCGCCGCTGATCGCGGTCCTGCGGAATTGCCACTTTGAAATGCTTCTTGTGGCCCTTGATTCATTTAAGGGGATTTCGCTTCCTTTCCCTGCCCCCCCCCCCCATCCCTACTCGCCCCCCCCCCCCCCCCCCAGCAACTTGTTCTATATATTTACTTTTAATATTAACCAACTCCGTAGGAAATCCTTTTTATGAAAGGAAACATTCTTGATCTATCCTCGAATATAAACCACTTTTGGTTTTGAAACACATTTGTTCACAGTCAGAGGCAATTTAAAGCTCGTACGAGCCTGGACAACGGAACGTTGACGTCCTGAGCGCTGAAACTCAGCCATATATGGATATTTCAAAATCGCTCTTGGATCTAACCACGCGCACGACCCCGTTACTCGATCCCTTATATATTTATTTGTTTGTATTCCTTAAACATTTTTTTTGCTGCCGTTGTTGCAGACGTGTATCGGCCCTGACACGTGTAAACAGATACGCGCTCCCCTCTCGGGCACTAGGCTGCTGCTGCTGCTTAGCAAACAGCACGCAATGCGGCGACGAGGCAAGAAATACCTCTTTGCGTGGCCATCTCTCGCGCGCACGCACGGAGCCGCACGCCAAACGCTGCTGACGAAAGACCGCGGGGACCAGAGCTAATGACTCGTGCAGGGGACACGGCCATAAGCGGTTCAACTCCTTTTCCGCCACGCTCGACGCACACAAAAAACGGAACCCTTCAAATTCAATCTCCTACACCTGCGCGGTCACATCGGCACGTGTGAAGCAACGCAGGTGGAGCGTACCGACTGTGCCGCGAACTTCCCTCTTTTCCACGGGGATACGTGCGCATCGCTGCGAGAGTGTGAGCACTGTACGCACTTGTGTATTTTTTGCGAAAGTAATTTAAAATATCGTTTTATTGTGGCCTGCCGTAACATTTTCCTGTGGGGTTTAATTATACAAGAGTAAAGGCTTGTGTCACTCTTGCTGTGAAAGACATTTAGCCCTTAAGTTAGGTAATTCTCTGATAAAAGGTTCCTAATGGTTGCTGTTAATACACAACTATGTGTCCCCAACTCCCTCCCTTCTTAATTTTTCCAGATGCTCTTTGCAAAACGTCTGAATTTTGGCAATGAGCATCAAAGCCTTGTTTTTTTTTTACTGAATAGAAAAAAAACTGTTGCAAGCAACGGTGTAGGATTTTCGCAGTTATGCTTGTACAGCCTTCCGAAGTATTTTTTGGGTTGCACCGCCTGTTGTTTGGCACGATGTCCGACGCTTCGATTCACAACGCTGGGAGCTTCATCAGCTTTCTAAAGACTGCTTAAGAATCTCCCAGCGTGCAAAGCAAAACGTCAGACGTTGTGCTGAACGACACACGGTACGACCCAGAGAAGGAAGACACGTCGGACATTCATAGCAAGCCAATTATCGTTAGTTTTCAGACGTTCAAGGTGTGCGTGCGTGGCTGACCTTGTGCGAATCGGGCTCCTGGTAGGATCCCACCTGGTCCCACGTGACCACGACAATCTCACTGGGCGAGAACCCCACGATCGCCGGGAAGGCGGAGCGGACTATCTCCCCGGCCCTCCAGAGGGCCTGGGTGGTCGCGGCCGACACGCTCTCGTGCCGGAAGAGCACCCGGCCGCGCCGGGACTCCGCCGACGTGGCCAGGTCGGCCAGGAAAGGGGCGATGGCCGGGAAGTTGGTGGGGAAGGCCTCGTCCACGTACTGCGCCTGGCTCGGCAGCGGCAGAGGCGAAAGCACTCCGTTCGTACCCACCTGTCGGGTGAGAGCAGAAGCGTTGTTATTTTTATTTTTTAAAATCTCATTTGCTCAGCGCAGGCCCAAAACGGCAAGCATCGAGCAATAAAGAGCACTCTTAAAGTTGTAACGGATGAATAGTTCCTACATTTTTTTGAGTCGAGCAAGGATATGGAAGAGCTCGGTGGGAGGAAATCCCCGGGTCGTGCAGTGCTTGGGAAGAAGCAGCAAGAGAAGTGTCGTGGCCTGCTTGGTGGTGATGGTGGTGGTTGAAGACAGTGTTAGAAATTTGTTTGTATGTTGAACTTATTTCGCACCGTACGTAGCTAATCGTGCTAATCGGAGATGCGAAAGAAGTTGAACAAACGAAACACGAAAAGCAGTTTAAAAAAATGCCATCTATATTTAAAAGTGCATAGCTCCGATGGCTTCTTAACATCGGAAGGAAGAGCGTTCCAGACGGCCGCAGAAGGGCGCCTGTAAGCGCTCGATGCGGTGACCGTCTTTGTTCAATCGTTAGCAAAAAGTCGCTGCTCTGAGGATGACTGGTATAAAGGTTATTGGGTTATATAAACCTTTCTAATTGGCTGTATTGGGTAATGGCGGGTGTAACGACATTATTAATCTGTCGTTAGGGGCCATCCATTTAGTAGGCACGCAAAAATGTCAAAACTTCACCCCTCCCCCCCTCCCTGTACGCACGGTGAATTTTTACACCCCCCCACCCCCACCTGCGTACGGACGCCTGACGCACCCCCCCCCCCCCCCTCCCACCGAATCCTATCGAACGGCCGATATTTAATCCACGCAGAAACGATCAAGGATGAATAATATGAACGTGTTTAAGCAAACAGATAGTCCACCGCCGGACTATCTAACTCATTTGAAGGCCAATGTAGACATTATTATTATCGAGGCTTGACACCCCCCCTCCCTCCCGTTTCCTATGCGTACGAACATTGTCAGTAAACCCCCCATACGCAAGCTACGCGTTTGGGTTAACCTCCCCCCCCCTCCATGCGTACGTACTAAATGTATGCCCCCTTAATTATAATTACGCGATCTAACCCACAAACCTCTATCATGGACAATATTTTGTCGTGATAGTGTTACACAGGATTTACTGGAGTTTGCGTGATCGTTAACGCTCCTTGACGAGGTCGGCTGCGGAGGCGTTCGGATGGACGAGGTGAACGAGTCGGTCTGGCAGAGACCGAGTTGCTCGACGCGCAGCAGCGAGAGAGCCGAAGGGCCACTTCCACGGGAGCAGTGACCACCGCAGCAGTGCCGACGTAACGTACGACCCGCTTGAGTCCCTCGCCACCCCCGCGGAGTTGGGACCTTTGGTGGGCGGTGGATTACCAATCAGCAGGGGTGCGCGCGCGCGCGCGCAACTTTTAATTAGAGGGTAATGATGATGCCAGCCGCATTAGTCATTTGAGCTCAGATCTGAGGTTATTCTCAAGGGCACGGTGTGACGGACACATTATCCGGAATAAATATGCGGAAGAAAATTACGGACGTGGGTCATTTGTTCGAGTTTGAAAGCGTGCGGCAGCGGTTGTGAAAAAAAATACGAAGAGAGTGGCCTTCTGGAAAAGGGGGAAATTTGTTGTGGTTGAACAGGATGGAATACACGGCGAATGTTTCTTGAACAAAGAAGAGAAAGGGTGAACAAAAAACTATCCGCCCATATTTTCTGAGGCATTCAAAAAAACACATTTGCGAGCCATTGAGTGCAACAGGGTTCAAAGAAAAAGATGGGAAGGCAATGACAGAAAAACGTAAAATGTAAAAATTATGCAAACGAAAAATGCATATACATGCGATACGCACACACACTTAGATGTTGTGCTTTTTTACATTTTTCTCCTGGATGCACAACTGAGATGTATCATCCCGGTTACAGTGAGGTCCTTGTGATGGTGTAGGGGTCACATGCCAAAGCATACACATTACCACACCGCGCACATTTGCCCTGACGCCTTATCTCTTCCACAGCACTCGGGGTTATGGATTTCTTCAAAACCGTGGAAATGTTGACACATTATTCCTTTAACTTCACCCCCACACACCGCCGAGCCTCCACCAAACTCCACATCTCATACCGTTCCTCTCACACACACACGTGCACTCACGCACGTACACGCGTGTTCGTCGTCGTCCTCAGCACCCATTGTGCCTGACACTGCACGGCAAGACCCCAACCCCCCCCCCCCCGGACGACACTGGCTGTGCGTGCGGCTGATTGCCTGCGCGTTACTCCGGCGCACGACGTTCGCATTTGATAGTGGCCGCGTTCGAGGTAGTTCGCGCTCGCGACAAAACAATCCACCGTCGGTGTTCAAATGAGGCCCTCTTTTCTTTGTGGCGTGCGCCCAACCGCGCGATTTTTGGTTTTTCGTCAAATTTGCGCTTGCGCGAGGGGGGGAACAAAAACCGCGGAGTGGAGCGGCGGAGCGGAGCGGCGGAGCGGAGCGGGTGCGCGCATCTCGCGAAAGGCGCGGCGAGCGAGCGAGAGTTGAGTTGAAGCCCCGGGATGAGAGGATAAAAAACAGACAAACATAGTCCGCCTGTGTTCCTTCTTGGGGGTTGGCCTGTGAGGGTGTCACCCGTACAGCACGTGGCCTTTCGAAAAGAAAAAAAAACTGACTGACAATTCCCCTCCCCCCAACAATCCTTGCCGCCACCCCGGAGTAACCGTGCAGCGCAGATGGCCCAGCGCAGCCAGCAATCAGGCACAACAGTCAAGGTTTTGCCTGTCAGAAACATCCACTATTTATGCATACAAACGACGCTCGCTTTCTGTTTGATTGTTAGAAAGCGATCTAAATACTCGACGCGTGTTGTGTCGCAGTAATTCTTCTCTGCCGCTGCATTGTACGAGGGAGCATAGGTCAAGCCAAGTCTGGTATTCAGATTTGTATTTTGCAACTCCTCTGTATTCCTTCAGATCTGCGTTGGAGAGTTTGATTTCCTTCAGGTCTTATTGATGAATTGATGTCTCGTTTGGACAGTAGAAGAGTGTGTGAGGAGAATCTCGGTATCCCTGCGTTATATTCTTTGGAGGACAGCCAACAATGGCCACATTCGATCATTGTATTGTTCCTGTTGTGTGATTGTTTCTTTTATAAACCCAGGGACGCCGCCTCATGTCAAAGCCCTTTTCATGAGGGTGTTGCTTTAGCTCCTTGGCCAGTTCTTCAGTATATTGGGGATTGTGTCGTCCTCGTGTTATGCATTGGGCTCATACAAATATTGTAGCAATGGCTCAGCTTTTATGGGTCAATATTAAACCAACAGATTGATTTCGTATTTAGCACAACTAGATTTTACACAATATTCAACCGACTTTGTCAGATGTCGGAAGCTAAGCAAATTTGAGCCTTCACAGTACTAGATGGGTGACCACAGTGTACAACGGGTCTATGTTGTGGCCACACAGAAGGCAATGGAGCAGCAGCAACATCATTAGTTGCCCTGTACTCCCCTGCTCTCACATCGATGATCCCCGCCTTCACCAGCCAGCATTGACCAGCGTGGTGAAGTATGGTCAAATAACCACCGTGACAAAGGGCTCGATATGTACAATAATTACTATGGAGAAGAGGGAAGGTGGGGGTGGGGGAGTGTGGTGATTCATGCATGTACGATGCAAAGAACCAGGCCGAGTTTTTTGTCCCACTGATGGCTTACATCAGTGGTGAGTGATATCTGAACCCGCACCCACCACACCCCCAACGCCCACCCCCATCGTTCAACCCACACTGAGCGACATGATGAAGTGTAGTCAAACAACCACCTATGACCGATATACGACAATGGATTGAGAAATCTTTTGAAGTTAGTACATTGACACCAGATGTAATTGAAAAAAAATATCATCTGCTCACATTGTCATCGTGTATTCTTATCCATTTTAAATGGTGCATATATCCGTATGAGTTGTTGAATTAAACTCACGATTCTAGATTAAGCTCAGGGTTAAAAGGAGGGAGAGGTGCCGGGGTGACTCAGAGGTCACAGAGCGTTGAGCCGGTGCTGCTGAGATCCTGGGTTCAGAATATTGTATTTATACTGGGGGAATCCGATGAGCTATGAAGCTCTTTTTCACAGATGTCCAGTAGCGGGCGGGTAAGAACGTTACACCAAACAAAACAATACAAAAACATGATAGCGGTTCGAATCCAGGCATCTACCTGTGATTCAACTGGGTTCTCAGATTCTTATTATTATTGACGCTTCTTTATCCAGGGAATCCTCACTGAATATCATGACTCGTTTTTTTCAGGAGGTTTCCTCCCAAGTTTTCGCAGTAACGGCAGGGGGGGGGGGGGGGGCGATGATTGCCATGAATATTCCTATGGAGTTAAAACTACAATAAAAACTAACCCCATCAACACGAGGTGTGATTCTGCACCTAATCTCGCCAATTTCCAGCACTAACAATTTAAACGTTGGGCTCAATTGTCAGTCTCTCACAACGTGCAGGACGGGTGCGAAAGTGCTGCTGTGTGGGATGTAAATGTCCTAGCTCTGTAATAACCACTTCCGTGGGCCATTTTGTAGCACAAAGAGCTTCATCACTCTGCGAAGGATATGAACCGATGCATCTCTCGTCCTATGACACCGATAGCACGATGGGGATAAAAGAAGGAGAGATGCAAAAAAAAAGCACATATCAAAGAACATATACAACCAAGGACGAGGAGGAGCAGCAGCAGAAGGGAGGTGGTGGCTATGAGAGTGGTGGTTGTATGTAAAACATCCCAGATACCCTCCATTGCCCCTACTGTGCGCTGGACACTCGCGAGCGTAACGAGTGCCAGATGCTCGCGCTCCCCTGCATCAGCGCGGAGGCTTGTTCCTCCTAATAAGGAGGCGGATAAGATCAGCAATGCGCACGCAATACGTTCTAAAGGGAACTTCAAACAGTGAAACCAACGCATTTTGCGATAGGTAGACAGACCGTTTTATTGAGGCTCTTAACAACCGCCCGCATTTACGTTCAATTTAAAAAAAGATATGTCTATATAAATAGTCCCACGCACTACTCTTTGTTTTTTTCGGTGAAGTCACGTATAAATAAGAAATAATATACGTGACTTTACCGAAAAAAACAAAGAGTAATTCCTGCAGTCACGAAAGCTTCGAATCAAGTCTAGTCCCACGCAGTTTGGAGTTGGGGCCAAAACGTTGTCCAAGTTTGGAAGTTTTCTGGTGCATCCGCACGCGTTTTGACTTTAAGCACGGCACGCGCTGTACCCGGTGGAATCGGGACCTGTGCGCGCGCAGCGCATTCAAAGCGAGCGATCCTCAGCCCTCGCTAAACCGCACGGAGGAGCATTGAGGCTTCTCCACATTAATCAACGCAGCTTTCGCTGCGCGTGAATCTACAGCCATTCCTCCCTCCCCCCGCCAATCGCCTGTTAGATGATCGCGTCGACCATCCTTCACACGCTGTTCGGTGCCAGTTGGTATATCCGGGAATTGAACTTAAGCGACCGAGTTTACTGTTCGTGCGCGTTACGTAACGAATAGCGATTAAATCACCAATCAAGAAGGGCAAGCAAGAAAATAAGATTTGCTTTATTATTTACATAAAGAAACTATGTTCTACAGTTATCGCAGTGCGTATGATGGGTTGGAGGAGGAGAGTTGGGGCAGTGAATCGCGCGCTGCGCCATGAATCCGGAACCTGAGTTCGATTCCCAGACCAGCATGCTAAAACATGGTCAAACAACCCCCACGTTTCGTCGCACGGTATGCTGGGGCAGTCCTTCATCGGGCGGCAATAGATGGGACCAATGCCTGTAAGTTAGCACTGTATCGTTGTTAACGATTCCTTCGGCAGCTGCAGCCTGACATGGAACGATGACCCCTCTTGCTGTGTGTTGCTGTGTGACCTCTTAGAATCCAACAGCCAAAACTTTTAATTGCGCAAGCGTGCGCGCGCAATTTTGATTGGGATTTTTTTTATTCTTCCAATATTCATGCCATGCCTTGCACCGTGAGTGAGCGAGGGGCATGGCGTAGGCTACTCTCTGGGTTGGTTTACACACGCGCACACGCGCAGCAGCGCAGGTCGGTGCTATACAGAGTGGTAATTGGTAAACGTGCCCAGTACGATCAAGCGGAAGGGCACGCATCTCGCCAGTGAGTTCGCCACGCAGATCTTGGCCGCCCAATGAAAAGCGCTGCGCTCCGCTGCGTCCGTGCGCACGAGCGTGGGTCGTGGAGCGATGGTGGTGGTGGAGGAGGAGGAGGAGGCGTCTCGCCTGACCTCGCAGTGCTGCTGCTGCTGGTTTGTGTATTGTGTGTTGGCGAACAAGCGTCAACAAGTTGCTCGCTCGTCACTAATAGCGCGGTCGGTATCCGTGTGTCGCGTTAAGTGCTGGCGAAGAGCTTCGACCGTGGTACGGGCTTGCGCCATAATTGCCGACTCGACAGAGAGTCTGCCCCGGCGCTGCGTTCTTGTCCATTAATTTTGCTTTTAAATTGATATATATATCTAACGAATATTCTCAGAAGGTCGATAGCACAACAACGAACACAAGTCAACAAAACCACCAGCAACCACGACGACACTCATCAGAATGCGAACATCGAGCTGTGCCAGATAAGCGCAATCTGTTGCTGCGGTGCAGGGCTGGCAGTGTTTTTCGCGAGCGCGTTCATTGATTCCGTGCGCCGCGTGAGCTGTGGTGTCGCGCCGCGCGCTCCCCACATGAAGGCTGCGTAATGCGCATTAGCAGCAGCGGGCTCCGGACTCGCTGCCGCCTGTTCGCGGTCGAGCGCCCTCCTCGCGTGATACTCACGTAGAGCTCGCTGTAGGGCGTCGAGTAGAGGAACAGGGGTTGAGCGAACCGCAGCGGTCCGAAGCTGGCGTCGTCCCCGCTCGGGAGCACCTGGTCACCCGACCTCTCTCCGTGCTGGAGCAGCTCATCCCGGCTCAGCCCGCGCGCGCAGCCGAGGAGGGCAGCGGCCAGGCACAGGAGGGCAGCGGGCAGGGCTGCATAGCCCGCAGGGGATCTCGCCCTGGCTACAGCCCTGGACATCCCCATTGGAAAATTGGTGGACCACCAACACCACCCCCACCCACGAACCCTCGAAATGCAGCTGACCCGCACGCACGCGTGGAGGTGGAGGTTCCGCGTGCGTTTAACGGTGCCGACGCCGGCTCTTGGAACTTGTAGCGAGCGCGAGTGAATTCGGTGTTGGAGGGCGGCGCTCTAATGGTATAGGAGGGGCTCTGCTTTGACTGGGAGAGGCTTGTGCGTTGTGATGGGGGGTTGGTGGTGGTGGCGGGGAGGATTTTGGAGGTGACTGTTATTTATTTATTTAGCTTTTATTGGTCCTGGGCGGAGTCTCTGGCCGGTACCCCCCCCCCACCCACCGCCCCCCCCCCCCCCCAGGAGAAGAGCCCCCCCGCTGCTGCGCGAGTCGCGTGGCACTGCCGCGGTTTTAATCGCGGCCACGCGGGGACGCTGCAGCTCCACGTGGCTCTGTGACGGCGCGCTCCCTCCTCTCGTTGCGTCTCTGTCGCAAGGCACCTAAATCAGTGGCGGATTATCCTCGATGCAAAAGTAGCTACATACGCTACGTGCCCCGCACTTTCAAAGGCCCCGCGCTAAATGCTTTCAAGCGATCAATTCCGGTTCAGTGATTCTGCACTTGCTCTATTACTATAGTACTATAGCGCCTTCAACTTTTACGTGTTAAAGTTTAGAGATTTGTCTTATTATCTGGCTTTATAGCAAATGAAAACATACAATTACTTTACTATGCAAGTAAAAAAATGTGTTTTAATATTTACGTGCTTTTTTTAGTTATTGCCCCTTTATAACATCATATGCTACAGGCCTCGCACTAGCTTAATCCGGCACTGACCTAAATGCAATATGTGAGTAACCGTTCCACGATAACACTTCTTGTCCAGGTGATTCCCTTTCATTTACATTTATCCAGGAAAGCCTCATTGAGTCTCGAGGGTCATGTTCAGGAGGGTCCATGCATTTGGGACTGTTTTGGCAATGCCATTAAAGAGTGGCTGCGTGTGTGGCCGATGTTGGAGAGAAGAGATGAATAAAGGCATTGTCACCATCAGCCAGGAGCAATCCACTGTTGGATGGGTGTTCTGCCAAGCAGTCGCGATCCATCACCGTCCTGAATTGTAACCAATCCATCTCGCCTGCCGATAGAATTCCCTACCAAGCGCACAAGGAGATCACGCTCGTACATCTGCACAGACATATTCAAGATTACATTGTTGTACGATGACGACAGCACCTGACATTCACAGGCAGTCAGTCTCCCATCCGAGTACTAACCAGGTTCAACTGTGCTCTGCTTTTGAGATTTGACAAGAGCTATTCGCTTGTAGGACATTTGCAATTTCCCGAAACGTTGTCACTATTAATGTATATATATACACACGCACACATTTTTTTCCCCTTGAATTTTAACCAGAACGTGACCTTAATCATAGATTGTTTTTTGTCTGTACAAAATGAACATTGTTATTGACGAGAGCAGAACAAGATGTCAGAGGTGCGTTCACTCTGCACGACGTCAAATGTGATATCGAGTTGAGTTCACTCAGGTGTCAGGACTTAGCGGGCACGGCAGAAATCCTGGGTTCGGGTCAACCTTTCAGCCGGCGACTGTGGTGAGATGTTAACTCCCTCACCCGGTATGCAGGAGGTCGTGGGCTCGATCCCGACTCTGACGCCTGCTGCTGCTGTATATTTGGAGTTTGCTGGTCGCGTGGATCTACCTCTGGGTCCTCCGGGGTATCCTTTCACATTTAGAAACGTGCGTTTAAAGTATTTGGCTGTAATACATTTGCACGTGATAAGCCACTTCGTTGAGCGATCATTTGTTGCCAGGTCGCTTCTGAAAAAGAGCTATAATGTTAATAGAATCTACCTGGTTCTCAAGTGTAGCGAGTTAATGGTTGCACGCCAGTCAGAAATGACTGCAACCGCCCCCAAAAACGTGATTTTAATCGTGGCTCACGACTTAGTTTCGATTATTCCTGCTCTGTTCAACAAAACATACCCGACAAACATTATTTGCAGAGTGTATATAGCGTGGACAGAGGTATCCTGTAGAATTGATTTCAGAAGGAGAATACATTGATATGCGGCGGACACACCCGTGTAGGGCAAAAAAACGTTTTCTCTAAAAAGTGAGCCCCTAAATACCTTTTGTCTCGTCCCGGTCCTGGCCATTCGTCTCATACAGGGTTCTGTGCAATGCTGGCTGCGAAAGTTACGACATGTATATCTCCATCTTCTGATGGTGCGATGCCGATAGTACAATTTGAATAAGATTGTGGTGGGGGGGGGGGGGGTGGCGCGCGCGGCACGGGGGTGGGGTCTGAAATTGCGATGGGCAGCTAAGTGTGATTGAGCAAGACTCTGGACTGGAGGTGCCAAATTGAGAGCCTTAGGGAAGTTGGAACACCAATCATCAGCCCGTTACATCGGATTAAGTGCATGCTTAAATGCGCAATTTAAAAAAAAAAGCTCTCACAGCTCCCCCGATGTGGTTCTGGGTGTACCGCGTGGTATTGTTCCTTGGCACGGCGTTTTTCGTCTCTCTCCACGTCCTGGGAGCTTCTGCGGTTCCTTGAGTTCAGTTCGCGAAGAAGTTATCAGTACGTGGAGAGGAACTATCAGTACGTGGAGAGGAATTGTACAACCGCAATCACCTCCACGGTAGTGAATGCGTCTTCTCCTGTAGCACATTCCTCTGACGTGTTTACTGGACTGTCCAACGCAAGTTTGAAGCTTAATTAATTTGAAGAAAGAAAGAAAAAACGTAAAAAATAACATGCGGGTCATGCTCCAGTGATTGCTATTACGAAAGAGATGCCATGCAGCGAGTTCTTTATTGACGTATTTACGTCTCCAATGTTAAGCTGTGGATCAGGTGGCCTTTCTATTTTCAATAAGCCATACCAATCATGCGATGCAATTCTAAGGCTGGCAGCTCATACGAAAGTATTAGTTTTTAAAGTACCCTCAACATATAAAAAACATTTTGGCGCCATACTAAATGTATTCTATAAGTATGTACGGAACAAAGTAGTGTACGTGTAAGGGTTACTGACACTCATAATCACTATCATCATTAATAGCGTGTAGTTTAAATCAGGGATTCATTTCTCAATTCATATTTTCTGAGTCGCTGGTAGACTGGAAGTAGGCACTTGACTAATAGTAGCCACAGCCATAGCGAGATGTCTTATACTTGTACATAGCTATGTACGTAACTAACAGCGCTAATCAGACGTACTTGATGTGGTGTCCAGCGTGCGGGAATATGATTTCCATCAGGATACACCCGGTTGAAATTAAGCCGAGTTTTATAATCACCTAATATCCATAACATACAAACAATTAAATCTATACTGGCCTCATGAAAACATTGAGACAAGAAGCCACACAAAACAGGCCGAGCCACAGTAGCGCCTAAATATGGTGATATTGGGAGAATGTTTATTTTTTTCACAAAAAAGAATGGAATTTTACATAAATCAACAGACCCTGCAAGGGAGATGGTGGGTGGGGCGGGGGCAATATTTGTGGCCACAAAAGATCGAACATAATTTGCTCGCTGCTTGGTCTACGGGTACCTATCGTGAATTGTTTACATTTATTGTTGCATTTTTTTGTCATTCCCCCCCCCCATTCCAATGCGAATGGTTTATATAGGCGTCGTGTCACGAGACGAGAATCCGTTCGGATCTCTCGCTGAGCGGCGGTGAAACTCTTCCTGTTCGGGAACGACTCACAGAAGCGGATATTACAGATCTACCTCTGAGATCCATTCAAGTGACCTCTGGCCCACACATCAGAGAGCAGCGCTTTCCCATCCACCCTCGCGTGACTGTTGCATGACAGTGAAACCGATGTTTTAATTTCAGAACTGGAATGTATCCAAATTAAGCGCAGACCCAAATCTAATGGTGTCTTTGTGTGTGTGTGTGCAGTCATTGGTGACCGGGCTGAGACCATCAACTCACCACGCTTGAAATGTGGTTTTAATCACATGCCTGCATTCAACCCCAGGACGTCAGCGGTGCCAGCTCAGCGCACAGACTGCCCATGTCTTAATGTACGGCATGGCATGACTTGGGATCAAGTCCCTCTAGGCAGCCCCGTTCACCAAGGCTCCATTAACGAATAGCCACAGCAGTCTTAACTGCGCTGAAGCTCGTCGACATGACAGGAGTATCGCTGAGTTTAATTGAGCCACGCAGCACGAGTGGTTACGAGGCACGTGGAGAATCGTGTCCTGGCCGGGAGCCCAGCACGCATACACTCAACGCGATGTCGGTAATGGTGTGGGTAGCCTACTCATTAGATGACTTCTCCGCTGGCTTTGGGGATGTTAGCCTTGGCTCGTTGTCTGATTGGCATTGCCACACGCGCACGGTACCTGCCAACAACATTCCGAGGCTGAATTTGCACTCGAACGTAACAAATGGCAACGACGCACTTGCAATTTATAGCTTATTTATGTAATAAGATAACTTGAAATATTAACGCAATAAAAAAACTCCATTACGGTTCTACAGGACATATATATTTTAATTACTAGTCCTGCCTTATACGTATTCAGCCAATTTATAATTATTACTATTTTGAATGCTTTGACTGCGTGTGGTACGGGAGCAGATGCGCAAGACGAGAAGAGTGACCGCACCATTCCAGGACAGAGTCACCCTGTCAACGGAATCAGAATATTTATTCCTACTGGAGGAATCCGATGAGCTCTACAGATATTTTTTCCCCGCCCCAACAAATGTCCAGCAGAGATTCGGCCAGCTGCGCCACTTTATACAACGCCGTACGAGCGTGCTGGCTCCACCAACAAAATATAAAAACGCACGCGCGATCCGCGCTGCCGCGAGTGACTTCGTCACGTGGCGCCGTATTCACCGAGAGCTTTCAGGTTTTTTTTTCTTCCTCCGGATTTATGGACGGGGAGGCTTCTCTCTGGCTACGTTTATTGATTTTATTTGTCTGAGCGCAAGGAGTTGCAGCGAAGAGGGGAGGTTCAAAAGGATTAAGTCTCAACAACGCGAGATTGCCATGGGGAGTTGATGTAAACGGAGGGATCGCGGCCAACTTTTTGCATCGGCCACTGTGGGTCCCGCTGTTGGGTGCTATTTGTCTGCACCGACAACATCTTTATGGTTCGCAGGAAAGAAAAAAAATTGAGACAGGACTCGAACCGAAAGTGTGTGTTTGGTCATCTCTCCACGAGCCGTGTCCCATTATTTTGTCCA